CGTAGATGAAAGTGTTGTGAAAGATTTTTCAAGCCAAAGTGGTCCGATAATATTTGGGAAAAAATGGCATTATTGGCTCCTCTCGTACATTGTGTATATTATTTTGGTATTAGAAGGGGTTTTGTGGAGATTTTAGTGACGCACGAGACTGATAAGTCCTGTCTCGAATCACGCGAGGCGAAGTCATGGACGCGCACTGTTGAGGAGTCCCAAAACAGCACAAAACCGTCGTCCGGTGCTTCCAGCTTTTCCATGGTGGTCTAGCTTCAATTGACTCGTAATCGCAGCTATTGAAAATCATTTTGGACCGATGTAACTTCGTGAGCACTTTATGAGACTGTTATTAAGCATTTGCCCATAATTTTTGAAATAAAATGATAGATGGGCGCAGTAACATTCCTATTACATTGTCTGGTTTGTTGTTACGGAACAGCTGGACATCGTAAAGTCGGAGTTAACGTTGTTTGTACCATTAGAAAGCCACGTTTCTCAGAAAATTATTATATTCCAAAGTATATCGTATATTAGCTACCTGAACTTGAGAATTTATGATTATTACTGCAACGGCGTTGTAAGCGAAACATTGACCAGCACCATGTCTCACTACTTCAGGTCTAGTGTAGATCATCATGATAGATCACTTCGTTGCAACTCAGACTCAAATGCACAGACGTGGTGTAAAATGTGGTCGATGGACGAATCCGCCAATAATAAAGTGAAACGCCCACCACCACATTAACTCCATTTGACCTTGTGTGACTGCATCTCTTCATTAACCAATCGCAGTTTGATATTCATTGTAAAACAATATTTGCTTTGTTGACCTATTTTTCCTATTCTCTGGCTACTGTTCGGTATGTTATTTGTCTCTGTTTTTTCCTGTATTAATAGACCGTACTGTTTGTTTGTACACTAACGATGTTAATTTATGTTTTAGAAACAGATAAAGTTCATCTAGCCGAATAGCTTGCTTGTTTTGACTTTGGCCAAACCAAGACTCTGTATTCGATGGTCTAGGGAATAGCTCGGAATTAAACATGTAGGAAATTGCTTCCTACACTTGGCCTTTGCTTACTTGTTATGTACGAGATTGATCTAGTGCTGTTTATTGTGACTAAAGAAATATTCTTCAGAGTTAAATAAATACATCATCAATAACTGATAAATATCATGACTGAATGCTTGAATCGCTTTCCTAGGCTCTTCTAGTAACCCTGTGTTTGATATCTAAACACATCCTTAGAATTTGATTAATCTATAAATTTTCGTTACTACAGTATTTGACCCCATCAGAAAATTTTAGATTTTCCATAATGTAATCACCTTGTTCATAGGACTCTACGCAGAAGTCACATCATTGTCTACACTTAATCGTCTCATCATGACAGTCATTTGTATAATGTTCAGCGCATCTGGGCTACGAATAGAATATGTGAATGAATAAGTCACATATTGTGACGAAATCTGCATGGCCGAGCCGTGTCTTACCAATCAGGGGTTCTGCTCTCTCCACTTTTAGACGTCCTATCACTATAAAAGCAACGAAAAAATCAAAAGCTCGAAGCATAGACAAAATAGATAACTCGAATCTTATACATTCGACGTCCATTTTTAATAGTGTCTTCGTGAAGCATGGTCGATTGATATATGCGTAAAGGACTACCCAGCCCATAAGATAACGGGATTGAGTTATAGTGTCAAATCTTCATTCATGAATCGTGAGTAATCAGCATAGATATATTATTCTGAGGGCAGAATACACTCAACAACAGAAAATTTTCGATGATCTAACTCGGGTTGGTGAATCGAATTTCTATCAGACATTGCAGAATGTCACCACTTAATTTACCAGTAAGACGGTCATGAGTAACTGCCATCGTCTACGAAGTGCTTTCCGAGATTTTAATTTTCATCTATGATCTAACGTGCTTTGATGTACAACAATTCAAAGAAGTAAATTGCTTGGATACTACCACAAAACTGGAGCTGTATAGTGAAATCAGTCAACCCGTTTAATTTGTCCTTGACCATGACAACGTCAGTAAACTACCCAACATGGACGTTATCTTTAAGTGACTCAAAAACGTCCATCGAATGGGACTCCATTTTCTCTCGGATACCTTCTCAGTTCTCGGACCAGGAGCTAGCAATACCTGGGATGTCTTTGTTTCGCAACGACAGAAAAACAGGAATTAGGGTTGGAGCAGCCGTATACATACGATCTTGCTTGGCGGTATACCAAGTTTAACAATCTTGAGGAATCCCTATGGTGCTTTGTTAGATTGTCTATTACTTCGAGGTGCCTAGTCGGAGTCATATATAGGAAGCTCACATCGAGTATGACAGGCGTATGCTGGAAGGAATATCCCGCTCTACGCGTCTCGGTTTCCCTCATATCCTGATTCTAAGGGACTTCAATCTCCCTAGGTCAAAACTCAACTTAAGCTCGGTTCTTCAACCTCATTGAGGACTTGGGATTATACGAATATGTAAAGTCGGCAACTCGTTGGAGAAACAGTCAGACATCGTCGCGCTTAAACTGTGTATTTACAAACGAAGAATTTCTAGTTGACAACCTCTCAATACCGGCCCCCCTGTGGAAAAGCGATCACGCCGTCATAGCCTTAAGTTTTGTCAGCAAAACTGAGCTAAGATATTTCACCAACAACATGCGCTGGAATTTCAAACGGTTGAATGTGTCGACTCTACAGGACTATCTGCAACAGGTGGATTGGGATGTTTACCCTCAACTCAATGTGGGTGCTCATTGGGACTTCTTACTGCACATGTTCTCATGTTCTACAAAGCAGTCAGTTCCTCAAACGGTCCCCAGAAACTACAAGCAACCTACAATCATCAAGCCGCAAAAGGCACTGTTGGGGAGAATATGAACGAACTGACAACAATGGGGCGTACAGGCAATACAAACATATAAGGAATATATGCTTGAAGGCTGTAAGAGAAGACAGGCTTCAGTACCAGATAAAGCTTATGGATAAATTCGTCCCCAATCCGAAGAGCTTATTCCGTTATGCAGTCTCTCTTCGTCAAGCCAAAACTGGAGTTTCCCAAATGCTATGTCCTAATGGCCGCTAACCTTTTGTCTGAACAATACTCTCGGACATTTCAACGGACCCACATCAACTATGCTGCTGACAGCTTCATTTGCAACTGCACAGGACTTTCTGTAGTGACCCTGAGCGCTGACTTGGTGTTCCGGAACCTGCAGAACCTATGAAAAGACATGCCTCTTGGCCCAGATATGGTTCATTCTGCTATACTGAGGGAAGTAGCCTCAATCCTGGCAACGCTGCTTAGCGTGATGTTCTCACACTCGCTAAGCCGAGGCAAACTACCAGAAAATTAGAAGCTGGCTCACATCACACTAATTTTCAAACGAGGTCGACGCAGCGAACCTTCAAGTTACCAACCAGTGGCTCTTCTCTCTATACCTTCAAAAATCATGGAGTCCCTGATATGCGATGGTATACATGACTATTTACTGTAATTAAATTTCTGCTCACCCCAACAGCATGGTTTCAGGAAGGGTTACTCTTGTATAACCAACCTGCTGACTGCGGTGGACAGATGGACAAGCATCTTCGATCGCAAGGGGAAGGTTGATATCATTTACCTTGATTTCTCAGAAGCTTTTGATAGGGTTAACCATACATGTCTTATCAATAAGCTCAAACGACTGGGTATCAGACCACCTCAAACTGACTGGCTCACTTCATATCTGAAAAATCGACATTTTAAGGTCAGGGCGATGGAATGTCCTAGTGGGGTGCCCCACGGTTCAGTACTAGGACTTCTTCCCTTCTTGATCTGCATAAATGATCTTCCTCAACAGGTATCGTCAGACCAACTGCTTTTTACTGATGATGCGAAACTTTGAAGGGAGATACGCAACCAAGAAGATATACAGGCACTTCAGTAGGATCTGACTCGACTTCAAAGTTGAGCAGACGACAACGGACTTGCCTTTAACACTTCAAAGTGTAAAGTAGTCGATTTTGACATGTTGCAGACTATTGTTACAACTTAGGAAACTGCTCTCCAGTAGCGTCCAGAGTCGAAAAAGATTTAGGAGTCCTGGTACCCTATGATTTTAAGTCTTACGCTAACTGTGACAAAAATGCCTATCGTGCAATCCTTGCACTGGTAACATTAGCCAGTTTGATGGAAGAACTTTCCAGCTAATCTTCAATAGTTTTATCCGTCTCCATTTAAAGTACGGCAACATAGTATTTCCCCCCTCACTCCAAAAGGATAAGGACACTCTGGATCGTAACCAACGGCGAGCCACGAAATCAGTCCAAGGACCTAATGAAGAGCACCTCCAATCACTTAACCTTTATCCATTAGAATATAGGGGTCTTAGAGGTGAAATTTCAGTGGCTGACAGTATCCTTAACACTTCTGGACATCCTCATAAACATCTACTTAAGCTTAGTCCCAATACCAACCTAAAGGGTAACACCTAGAAATTGGAGACACAACATAACAGTACAGACTGTAGACACAACTTCTACTCCTTAAGAGTTGTCAAATGCTGGAATTCGCTGCCGGCCGAGCTAGCTCAAGCGATTTCCCAGGAGTCCTTTAAGAGTCGACTATATCTATTCTTAAAGTCTAAGGATAGTATCATACTATGACTTAGTGATTTCCTTTTCCTCTTTTATCGTTAACATGCATAGGTTCCTGACTGGAGTTATTCGTGATTCCCTGCTACAAGACTCGGGAGCCTGTTAAGTGAAAGCTTCTTCTATTCCGTCCACAACCATTTGAGTCATTTGAACCATTTGTTAGGGACTAAAAGTCTATCCGAACAGGTGGTATCAGCTGTGTGAGTGAATGAATGCAGAAAACAAGTTGGTTCATACTTAAAAACACACTGTGATGAACTATAGAGGCCAGCCGATGTACCCTTCTTCTTGCTGATTAGTGAGTACCAAGATTGTTTAAACCGAATAATACGAGCTAAATGTACTCGTCTAGCAGAAATGATGCGCACACTTTGATTCCAAGTAGTTGTTTTTGCTTTTACGTGAGTAAAATACTTTTCACATTAACAGAAGGTGTAAAATATGTTTTTTATACATCTATGTTGCCACTTCATTATTTAATTTCTGCCTGTTCACCACAGTTTGCTCTAACTCTTGTGTCAATGTGGTGGGTTTGCAGCCATCTACTTTTATATGTACTGAGATTTGAATTATTTGCTCACTATTTTTTAATTATAGCTAAATGTAATTCCCAAATTTTAAGCCGCCTAGAATTTTACGTTTTATTAATGTCAATTTTAAGTTTAAAAATACCTATTCGTTCGGAGTAAGACTATTTTCCATCTCTTTTTGCAGTTTCTGTCTTAGCAACCATTATTCTCTCTCTTTATTTCTTTTATTGTGATGATGTGTTTTGTTTTTGCCAGTTATTATATCAGGATGGTACATTGTTTCAAACGACGCTATTAGAATCCAATGGATATATATCCATTGAGGTATCTCAGTACTTCCTTATATAATGTAGGCATATTAATATTGATATCACACTAAACTGTATTAATTGTCCCAAATTCTCTTGAGAATATCGAGTTACTTAACAAGTAGCCTCTGAGATGAAGCTGAGAGCGGTCTAACCATTGGGATGCCCATTGTTCTACGAAGTCAGTGGTTGTTTGACTAAGCCATTTTGGTAAGTACAGACTATCTAGTTAGCGACCGTGCAACTATCGTGATCGATGGTTATAGATGTTGTGTGGCGTGACCAAGAATCAGTCGTGATGGCTCAGGTGCGTTCAGTCTTTGTTTTCTCCAGAATTATGGGACTGTAATCTATTTTATGCTTTTTGTAGTGTAGAAATTCTCCCTTTTTCTTGAGTCATATCCTCTGTGTTTTTTTCTTGCTGTTGCTGGCTTCTGCAATACTTTACTCGCATTCTGACTTTGTCTCTGTACTAATGTGTTTTGGAATTGGGTTCGATGGATATTTATACTAGGTTTTGTATTGCTTTATTATATTTTAACACATAGATGTTGGTACAAGGAGGCAGCAAATACTTATGCGCCACACAAATCTCATTCGATATGTGTGAGGGCTATGATACTGTCCGTGTGCCCAAACCGAAGCAGGTAGTTTTCTTAGGGGGCCACATCCACAGCCTTCGACCTGAAGCTGTGATCCACAAGGCAGTGTAGCATCGTAAGGAGATGCAGTCCCATGGTAGCCGGTGATCAACGATTAGTTCATACGCCATTTGTTCACTCAGGATACTGGAGCCCATGTGCACCATTGGTTTGGAATCCGGTTAAAGCGCCGGACATACGCTTTTCGTCCTCCCATTTTCGTAAACAACATCCCCGCCACGAGAAGGCAGTGGGTAGGACTTCCCTGGCAGAGGCTACATACGCGTGGCCGTGTGAGAGCATTTCGAGAGGGTGAGCGGACTCTCCCCACTCTCGGCCATACCAGGACATTTGGGGGCTTATTATTTACTGTCTTGGAACCCAGCTTTCTACAAACTATTATTCTGTAGGTTCATGAAATAAACACTTTACTTTGATGGCAAACAGTAAACGCACTTTTAAGACATTGAAGTTCTTGGCTTTATTTTTCTGGGGCCATTGTTTTGCATCATTGATGAGTCCTAAACTAAAACTAGACAGCTTTTTATAGTTATTCAACTTATATCTGTTTGACGGGCGTTATCCAAAATCTGTTAGTGATACACGGTGTGCTACAGGCTAACTCCTTCTCTCCGACTGATCACTTGAGTGAGAACACAAGAATGAGCGAAAAAGTGTATTGAGCTGCCGAATAAATTACATAAATATTCATATATATATATATATATATATATATATATATATATATATATATATATATATATATATATATCGCTCTAGTCCTTAGGAAATTGGTCAGTTCCTTGGCCAATGAAATGCACTTGTCCTTCAGGTTGTTTCTAATTGTTGTCGATTGACCTTTTCATTGGGCTACTTATTAGCTCGCCATATCAATATCAGTCTTCATTAGTATTTTTTTTACACTAGTGAGTGTTTACTTTTCATCCGTTCTGATGTGCATTTTCCTTGTTTAATTATCTATTCCTGATGGTTCTCCTAGTTAGAGCAAACAGGTTTAAGGTTTGAATGGTCATCTAGTTGCCGTTATAGCTCCTGAAAATTCCTGTCTGACTTACAATTAAGAGTTTCAGTGAGACTTAAATATTGATCGTTTTAATTACTTATGTAAACATATAACAATGTTATATTATACTATTTAATTTAGTATATGACGCATGAAATCTCTTGACGATTATTTTTGAAGACTATGCTGTGTGTTCACCGAGAAACTTCAGCTCCAACTTTGCCTATTCAACAGTTTTATATCGGAAGCGATGATGGTTATGGTATTGCTGATGAAATACATAATTCCACCGTTCTGCCGGTTCATCAAACAAAACATATCAGCCTATCGTCTAATGAACCTGTGAAATCTATTTCAATTGATTACTGTAAACAGAAACCCATTTTGTACTCACAACCTGTTGTACCTGATTTACATTTACAACCACCATGTGTTCAAGAGATAACTGATTTTCCTGGTGAGACATCAGCCCAATTATCTACAAATTCTGATCACCAATTTACCCAACCATCAAGAACCACTGATAATCCTGTTGAAAATCTTAAACCACCTAGTGATCCAGCTAGAAATATTCGACCTCATGTCTCAGATAAAGAAGGATATGAAATAAATGAAGGTTTGTTCCACGTTTGCAATTTCTATGTTTTTAATATTGTGGGATTTTATGGTACTATAGAGTCATGCGTCTTACTGAATACTACGGTCAGTAGAGCCAAACATTAGGACAATAATCGTCTACGTATCAATTATTGCTGTGACATTTAGTTTTCTGTAATAAAATCTTAACTCACTGTAGTTTAATTATGCACGTTCCATGATGTCTACAAATTTCTGTCCGGTTATAACGTACTGATATTGAGACCTTGGTCCTGACACCGAACTGTGTCGTAGGTCAACATTTACAAAATGTTATCATCTACCGTTTTTACAGCATTTGAACTTTCATTACTATATCTATTTACTTCATCAATAAACTTTGCGAAAGTAGGCTTAAATAATATCCCATCAAGTACTGGTTGATGTGCTTGGCTTTGAGGCACAGTCCATAAATGTTAGGGATAACTATACCTGAACTGAAGTGGGTGGAACGGGCTTCGAAGCAGCGACGTATTTTTGTTGAAATTCCAGTACCTTAACCACTAAGCTACCGTTTCGTACATTTAGGTACTTAGGCTAGTTCACTAGTTAAGATTTATAAATTGCTAGATAACAAAGATATTGTGTTACTAGCTATATTATAATGTTCAGTGGCCGATCTTATTTCGGTCATTTTTTAAACGTGATACTCTGAATTCTGAGGAAACAGTCAATTTTTTTAAATGATCGACGTTAAATGACATTCCAGTTATTTTTCTTACAATCTTCACAGACTGAATCGGTTGATACGAAAAATAATAAGTCAATATCCCAACCCTATTTTATGCAGTTCGTAAACTCATTTTAAAAATTAATACGGAGAGTTTTTCAAAGTAGCAGTGCATTCTTGCTTTTTCGTATATCTTTTGGACATCCATGCTTATTCATAACAAAAAATTACCTACTTATTATAATGCTTCGAATAATAGAATACTGATATTATTGCGACTCCTTAACTGAAGATTTACTGAGAGGACCGGTCTTCAAACCTGTCTCATTAAATTCCAGAAGACAACTGCTGGCCGACTGACTGGATGTGTGAATAAATATCAAGCAGTAGACATACAAAATGATATCACTTTTTTCTAAAGGTTATTTCTATGGTATAGAATTCTTTACGGGTCCATACAGTCAAATATCTTGGCATTAGCTGAATTTAAGGTACTGGGGAGTAGTCGTTTCTTGGTTCAAGATGTGCTACTCCCACCATTCCAAGTGTCACTAAATATGGTTTATTATCATACCATGTAACTTCCAGACCATCGCTAATACTAGAATTCTTTTTATCTCAGTCTGGAGTATACTATTTACATACAGTACTATTCAATTACTTTTTTCTGTGCTAGTATCACTTCATTTCAACAATTATTTTTCCATTCTTAGATTTTTTACGTGAACCAGCTCCAAATGGTGGTTGGGGTTGGCTTGTTGCACTAGGGAGTTTTCTATGCATCTTTGCTGTGGATGGTGTGTGCTTCACTTTTGGTCTACACATTAATGAAATGATTCACGAAGGACAGTTCAGAATAGATCCATCTGACTCAAATGAGTCACAAAGAAAACCATCTTTAGCTTTGTTAAGCTTGCCTGGAGCATTACTGTGTGGGATGTATTTTTTATTCGGTAGGTAAACATCTGTTATTTTTTAGGGAAAACAGTGCATTGGATTATTTCAAACAATTTTACTTTACAAAAGGCCTATTACGAAATGTTCATACTATAACATTTGAGATAATGTATGGAGTCCATGTGTTCAGTTATTTGTTTTGTGGCACATATTTAGTATCTTCGTCAATATCTGTTCACTACCCCATTATGTAGTTATCTTTAATTTTAGTGATTAGTTGTTGTTGAATTGGGACTCGTATACATTAATTTGAGTTGTGTAGCCTCACATTTTTTAAAATTTCCGTCCTTACTGCTTATAACATAATAATCATCTTATTGGACATGAAGTATTGTTATTATCAGCAGTGATGCGTAAGGAAAGTGAAAAGATAAGGGACAACTTGTAAAGAGAGTAATAGAAATAATAATGGAAAACTAAGAACAGTCCAGAAAATAGGTAACTAAGAACTGATGAGAGTATCAAATAGACGACAAGTTAGAGATTTGTTAAATGAAGAGCGTTTTATAGTAATTGCGTCTGACAGAAATATTTCAAGTAATTTTGGACCACAGACTACAATATCCGGCTAACCATAGCCAAGAGGCCTTCAACTTTCTTTCACTATTCTCTCATACACCTATTGCTTTCGTAATATGATGCCACTTTTTCCCTAGTTTTCTTATGCAAGCCATCACAAAGCAATATGATAGATCGTTGGGTTGCTATGTGTAACGTTTGTCTCAAGCACATCAGTCAACAGAAATTTGCAGGATATCCAAGCTATCTGTAACCTTGAAAGCATAACGTTAGCATTACTCTCTTTATGGTTTCACTATATGAAAGTAATGATATGAATGAAATACCACATATTTTCGACTTAAACATAAATTTTGATTTCATAGACTGATTCTCTCTGCTATGTAACTAAACAATTCTCCGCTTAGTTTATGCAGATGTTGTGTGATATTTTTTTACAATCCCGAGTTTTCATCAGTGACCTATCGTCAGGGTTGATAAGATTATCAAGCTACGTAGAATGGTTAACATTGTCAACTACTTCACTCCACAGGATTACAATGACCATTGAAACAGCCAAAATCTGATGGATTATTTTGATTTCAAAGAAAATTAACCCATTCGAAATGTTCTTGTATAACCACTCAAAACATTTAAAAGCCGATGTGGTTAGTGTCTTCATCAAACAAAACTATCGTTTACTAACTTTGATATAACTATGGTTTCCAGGTGGATTTATTTTAGACTAAGAAAGATCTGGTTTGAAGTATATAGTATAAAAAAGTAGATTGGGCAGCTCTGATAGACATCACTTAAAGTAGCCAACTCAGAAGTTCGTCCACCAGTGAACTCTGTTCTTGCCAAAAGAACGAGTAAAGGGGCTTTATTGGATTGACATACTTCTTTGGTATACATTATTATACTTACTATCAGAATTCTTGTACCATAGAGATAAACTTCGTCCTTAGAGAAAAGAATGCATCTACAATCAAGTATCTGTAAGGGTTTCTATATTCTAAAGCTTAGTGAAGGGTGAAGATTCGATCGACTTGTCTACCGGTCATGTAAAAACCATGTGCGGCTTTTTGCGTTCGCTACTCCTGAGCTTCGTTTGAGTGTGACGTGGATATGGTCTTGACGACGATAGTTGTCAGACATTTCTCTGTCGTTATCTTAATAGGGTTTTGACCATTTATTTACTCGAAGCACCAGCCATTTGGGCCGTTTAGATGTAATTAGATTCAGCTGGAAGTAATAGGTTGGATCTTTTTCGTCGAAGGTATTTAAAAGACGCCAGTAATGACCTGATGCTTCTATCTCAAATTTCGTTACGGTTATGTAAAATAAGTTGTAAGTTTCAGTCCCAATGTCAATATCTAACTTTCACTGTCAATTGGTAGTACTCAACCTAAGAATTAAGTAGAGAATATTTTTAGTTTTCTTTCAACTTGTCTTCCATGTCTATTGCCCTACCCCTAATCTTCTACTTCTTCACTCTGTGGTCACCTACGAGTGAGTAATGACATACTTAGAGAATTTTTATTTCGTCTACCCTTGCGCTCGGATAGCTTTAGATAGAATGCTAAGCTGTATAGTTAGTCCATTATTTATGTTTGAATCCACTGTTGAAATGACATAGTTTCGAATGAAGAAATCCACGATTATTTAGGTTGTTGAGATACTAAAACTGAGAATGTAATCCGATATAGAGGTTACAACTATCAATTTCAACTAAACTAATTGAAAATAGAGATGGGACATTTTTAATACTTGTTTTAAATCAGCATTACTGAAGCAGATAACGGCCTATAGTATTATTGATATTTAAACGTTTGATAAAAAGTAGCGTTTAATTTCATAAATCTAAATATTGGTAACCAGTAAATCTAAAAAGCACATCTAAAGTGATTAGAAAAATCGAGATATTTTCGCGATCTATGAGTACGCATTGTATTTCTTCATTTGAGATGTCTGATTTCAATAACGGCTGCTTAAGGAACATACAAACTTTGCAGTTTAAAAAAATAGGTAAAATTCTAGAATGCTCCATTTGTTAATATGATTCTATTGTTCAATAGTCGTTTCTGAGTTTTAGTTTTATTTAATATTTATGATACTGTGATAATTAGAAGTATTTGAATTATTGTACGAACTAGGGATTTCCGAAATAGTGCGATCTAAGTAGACAGAACTAGGTGAGCACTAACGAACGTAATGTATTTGGAATTGGAAATCATGTAGACACCTAGTACAAAAGAATCATTAATTCATACAAACACCATAGATAATCATATAAGAGCGATTTATTTTGTATAAAATCTTAACTCGAGCTATCATATATAAAGGTTTTGATGTTGTACTTAATAATATTTTTTATATCATCATTGGGACTAGGTGAACAAAAGTTTTTTTTTAGTTTGTTGGTAGTATATCAATATTTGCGACTAGCTTTTTTATGTGATTATTTCCTCTTTTTTGTATTAGGTCCGTTTACGGGTGCTCTGGTAAATCGTTTTGGCTATCGTATAGTTGCATCAATTGGTGCAGTCATTACTTCATTATGCTTTCTAATAAGTGCTTTGTTCATTTATGATTTGGTTACATTCATCGTTGTGTTTGGTATAATAGGTGGTAAGTGAATTACTTGAGATTGTAGTGTTTACCTTTTTCTCCAGTGTTTGTTTAAGATGTAAAAATATACAGGAATAATACGAAACATGTGTGGTGGTTGAATTTGAAGTACCGGTCTGATAATATGACAGATGAGCTAGAGAGGCTGTAGTTTGAAACCCTTTATTTCTGATAGACTTTTATCATTGATATATTCTAATGTTAACCAGCAGAGTTCACTTTGTCTGCTTCTTGAGTAAAGATGGTCTAAATGGTTCCATAATCTGTTATTTTGTATTTCGGAGTAGAACTAAAGTATATAACTATTTATACTTCTGTTAGTTATAGTTGACTTTCTTCCAAGACATCTGCAGCACCTATTAAAGTTTCATGACAGTCCTTATGTATGGTTTGATTTTATGTTATATTTTATAGTGTTTGTACAGTTTATACAGTCAGAGATTATATTTGTGGGACCGCAATGAAGTTTTTTCTCTAAACTATGATATGTATTGGATACTTTGCCTAAACTTGAATCTTTAACCATTTCCGTTTCGTGATTTCAACGTGCTAGTAAACAAGGAATAAATTCGTAGCCTGGCTCACATGGTATTCCTCCAGACAGGTGACAATTATAATTGTTCTAAATGTTTTTATAATAGTTGCTCTATGTTATTTCATCTGTCTGCTTATTCGAACGAAGCTTTTTTCTTGATTAATAAGTGTGGAAAAAAGTTATTAAAAGGTACAATCAAACGATATTAGGAGATTAACTACATAACAGATTTATGGTCTCATGAAGCAGATTGAATGGATATTTATGTATATTCTGATTTGTTTGATTTGGAAAGGCAGAAAATACCAAATTTCTAAAAGTATACATAAACTTGTTGGGTTCGCTTTATTAATTATTTAAATATCGTTATCTTTATTTCCTAGGAATCGGTTGTAGTCTAGTTTATTTACCGGCAATTACAGTTATCGGACACTGGTTTGAAGAACATCGAGCTTTCATTGTTGGCATTGTAATGTGTGGTGGATGTTTAGGTGCCGGTTTAATGGCTATTATTACACCTCATTTAGCAGTTCATTTCTCATGGCGTGGTAGTCTCATTCTCATTAGTGGATTGTTTAGTCAAACCTTAGTAAGTTTTAGATTTTTTGCAATGTTCATGATTAATGAAACGTAGTCTTTCTTAGGGTAATACATACATTTATGAGTATTTAAGGTTTCCTAATATGAAATGTGTTATCACTTAAGAAACATACAACTTACGTACCTAGCCAAACTACTTGTTTTTAGCACCCATCAAGTAAGCATAGCTGTTTTATCAAAAATACATATATCCTTAATGTAGGTGAAAAATATCACTCATTTGGGATATCATATACATAATTATTACGGGTTCGAAGCTTCAAGGATATATTCCTTTGAGGTTGTTGCTATGGTTCAGTATTTAAAAATACATCTGGGTTTAATAGGTTTCAGGAGACTTCATCAAACCATTCGGAATTAAATATTTTACTGTGTCAAATGCACTTGCTGTTATATACTACTCCGTAATCGACAAAATTAAGTTGCCATTTGAGACTACAGGCCAATATTATTTATTGTGATTAATGGGTACTATAAAAAATCGCATATATATATGTATGTACTAGTGAACTAAAATTGTGAAATAATATTAAATGCCGATATTCGATGAAAGATAAGGAATGAATATATTTTTGACACATTGACCGGTTTTGAACCATATGATTTTAGTTATTTAATCACTAAGCACAATTATCACTTTTTCGTCAGACAGAAAGTATGCACCCACCGGTACTTCTAGAACTAACACTTATTAGTCTATGAACTTCTCTTTGACCGACTTACTATGTTTAATTGGCAATCTAAGCTCGATCTCAACATTATTTATTCCGTGGTTGCAGTTTGTGCGATAAATGCTTCCAAGACACCTAGTATAGAATTCCAACAACCTAAGCATGTCTTTAGTAAATCAGTGGTAAGGAATTATGTTAACCTAAGCTCGATCTATTTACTTTGAAAGACCGGGTAGAAAGTCTTTTGATCAAGTTTCAAGTCATATAATCAGTGAACAGAGTTTGGGGGCGCCCTTTAGCAATGGAATTTTTCAGAATTATCAGTAATACTGTTGGGATATTTGGTCCCCATATATAACGTATGAGAAGAAAAGTCAATCTTCTCATACCGATTTAAGCTGATTTTCACCCAGTCAACTTCAGTTTCATTCTGTTCATTATTTTTCAGAATATTTCAGTTGTATTTGGTTACTTATTTCTTTGTCTTCTTTGGTCTCGTTCAATAAATCTTAACACGATTCATCTTTCAGAGTAGCTAGAGGGTTCTATGCAAGTGGAGCTGTTGGATATGTTGTCTCAACTGTTATTAGAGTTATCGGTGTATTTCCTGTTCCGTAATAAGCCCGTCATGTTATCAAGACGAATCGGTTCAACTAATGTAACCACGTTATGAGAACTGTATAAGTTCTACTACACATCACATTTTATTTCTATATTCAATTTTTTGATTTCATAGTGCAGAAAATCGATGTAGAAGATTTACTCCCAGAGTAAATTTAAAGTAACGAAAAATCAAACCACTAGTAGATATACATGGTATTTCTAATGACCAACACATTGTGGTTACAAAATATTAATAGTGGTAGGAACATCTGGAGTGTTTTGTACTGGCTTAACATCTCAGTACTACCATTACGTTTGACAACATGAGGCATATATCGTGCCAATGCTGAGAATTAGGGATGTTATATACATGCTTTGTTTTAACACATTAAGGGTTTTTATTTCTTTAAAGAAATGTTTTAAATCTGGTAGCTTTGTATTAGAACTTTACATCCCCATCTCACTATAAACCTTAGGAAGTATATATTTTAAGAGTATGAAGTATAGATTATCACGTGGTTCTCTTTATTCAAATTTCGGTTTCATTCGCTATCACACCCTACTTTTTTGATTGATCTCAGAAATTAGAATAGGTTTTGAGAATATAAAATGATTTAGAATCATTATGTAACTGATTTGAATCACGGATTGACATCAGCTAACATACCATTGAAAACCAGTGATCACAGGTTGGCCGCGTACACGACTAATTGAGGATCAGACCTAAGGTTTTCGTATAACACAGCGAACCCTATGAACTTCAGACTACTGTTTTGAAATCCAGTAGTAGGTAGATAGTGCTACAACCATCCAATGTCATTAGTAGATATCAGTGAAATTACACTAGTAACAACGTTTTATATTGTAAGGGATCCTTACCGCAGAGATATACTAGTAACTGGTGGATTGTATCTTGGTCTAGTTGTTTGTGTAGAATTCGATCCTTGGGACTAGGGTATTGAGTGCGTATTACTGGTGATTTTCACACTGGCACAAAGCAACTATTCGGCGATCTCAAGTTGCTGTGACATCTCAAATGATTCCCGTTCTTAACGAATACCACCAACAAATTAAACTAATCTTAAAAATCCCTTCAAGCAAATTTAAAGTTAGTTTTATCACCCCTAAATAACATTAACATTGTTTAGTGTTTATTGATTTGATAAATAGTGATTTATCACTGTACTTTACTTATTTCTTTCTTCTTTTTTGGTTGAAAAAAATATGTTATATTTAACGACAGGTTGGTATAGCGTTATTTCGTCCTGTGAGTGTACATGAAAGAATAAGAGCTATTAGATCATTAAAAGAAGTAGAGAAGAAACAAATCAAACGAAAAAAGTGCAAATTGAATTGTTTGCCATCTAGTCATAAACCAAAACATCATTCTGTAAAAAAAATTGCAATTCAACGGTAAGTGTGCTTCTTTAATTACATTCATATGATTTGGCTCACGTATAATTAGAATTCATGTCTTATATTCAACTTGAAAGAATATCACTTCTACTTAATTGCTACCCAACTAAATGTTTATTAGTTCATATTGAAGACTTTTTGGAGGTGTTTTATTTGATCAAAAACTGTAATCTGTCATGAACTTTCATCGTCTTTTAGACAGACAAGTATGAAGACAATGGAATCTTGTAGGAATGTGTATTGCTTCAAGTTATCACGTTCCGTACGAGAAAAGAGGAAAAAGATTCAGTGAAAGGGTAAAAATATTGCTGTGAACAGTAAATAAGCAAACATAAGAAAACAGTACAAAAAAAGCAAATGAAAGTAATCGATGAAAAGCATGCAATTAAACTATGTTAGTGATAGAGAGTAATATAGTGCAAATATAGTCAGGGTATTTTGCCGGTTTAGAAAGTATTTAGAAGAGAGTTAGGAGCAACCGAACCAAGATATAATTTTAGTCCAAGATGTGGTTTTTGTCCATGAAGTCATTGACTGGTAGACTGAGTTATTTTGGGTGAAGAATACCTTGTTGAGGTCTGTATGATTGTCGTAACCGATGATCGGCGACTGGGATGACCAGGTTCATAATCGATTACAGTGGACCGGATATATTTACTTTTTACATTTCCATTAATCTTAACTTATAAAGTTAAGTTTTTTAATCCGTCAATTCATTATATCTTCTGGAATCATGTGGTTTATATCTGATTTTTTCTTCCTAATTTCATCTCACTGTCCTGATATGGAGTGGCAACTTGAAACAATGGACATATTCACTAGGTTCTACGTTGTTTATTACTGACTAACTGATGTAGAGTGAATATCCATAGATCACAGCTGCCTTGCAGATATGAAGTATGGAGTCTACATTTCCATAATAATGAAACGAATCAATTAAGGGGTCCTTACCGCAGACATATACTAGTAACTGGTGGATTGTATCATTTCTTATTTTGTCCACATGTAGTCTATTTCCAATCTGCTGCTGTGCTCGTAAGTAGACGTTGTGTATGCATGCCTATCTACATGTACCAACGTACGTAATCTGTGAAAATTTATCACTATAGTCTTTTTCAAATATGTGTTACATTTCGTACAAAAACATTTCTAAAACTCGTAGTTAATCTCTGAGTTATTTCTTTTAGCTGTATTCAGTGATTAAATCTATAAAGAGGATGTTTACAAACTCCTTATGTATAGTCGAATTCATTGTAATCCTTTCTTATAACTAAAAAGTTTAGCATTTAGGAAAACCTTTAGTTCAAGCCATGATGTTAAATAGTTGATAACTCAACTGCCTTTTTAAGTGTGTAAAAACCACTCATGCTAAACTCTAATATGTTGACGAATAAACTGATTAACTTCATCAAATGTTTACAGAAAACTATCAAGGTCTCGTTTACCGATCATGAATTTACCTTCTCCATCGATCTTATTACTTCGTCTATTTCTTTATCCCTAGTAATATATCACTTAAGTTTTCCGAACACCAACGCATATACTTTGACGTTACTCCTAAATTTAGCCACATGACTTACAGTAAGCGTTTATTTTTATGTTTCAATAAACACTATGTATATATTTGTGTGTTTACACACCCAGTATCTGTTTTTTTGTTGTTAGTTAAAGTTTATCTATTGTCTAGAACGAATTTTATATACTATCTTATGACTGTTGCCTTCGGAAACCTTTCCCATTTTCTGTCGAAAGCAGACTAAAACCAAATTAAGATTTTAGCCTATTTCACACTTGGTACATCATATATTGTACACTGTATGTTTATTCCAAATAAGATCTTATTCTAGGTCTTGTATAATACATATAACTTAATTGGATTTGTACACTATTGAAACTAAAGAAATAATGTAATCAACTTGCATATTATTTTCATTCGAGTTTTTTGTAACGTGTTGACGTTTGCATAACAGTCAGTTAGATGATGTAATGATTAAACTTTAACAATCTCTTTTAATTGTAATAGTTAGATAGTACTATTAATTACTGTATAATCTATCTTATTTACAGATTGTAATTGGATATTATTTGGTAGAAATTTTCAGAGTAATTTTATTTTCACAATATCAATGTATTTAGATTAATAAATTAAAGTGTTATCATGAATATTTGACTTGAATTCTTTCTAACATATAAACTATAATCTTTAAATTTTAATTTCAGTGGTTCTATTATGGCTCGTATTATTGAAGAAAAATCACGTCAACGAACTACATCTACTGGCAGTTTAGATGGAATGGTAATAACACGTGAAAATGAACTTGTAGCTCTATCATCTGATGCGTATGAAGTGGTCAAAGCTGCTGCTGTCATTTACAGTGCTAATACTAATAACACTGTATCGATAAATGCTAAACAAAAGGAAGAAATAGGAATACAAAAGAAGTTTGAAGAAAATCATTTATCATCATCATTTGAATCAACATCTTTTGAACAATTAAAGCCTAGTAATAGTACGAATGCAAAGAGTAATAGTTTAAGGTATTCTCTAGATAATAATCGTAAAAATCTACAAACACTAACTGAAGGATTTCCTATGTCATCATTTGATCAAACAACAGAGAACTTTCAAACAAACTCACAACCTGTAGGTTATTATTTAAAAAAAAAAAAGAAATCACGTTTTATTTTCTGCCAATTTATTTCTAAAGACATGTATAAAATAATTGGTTATTACATTTATGCATACAATAATCCGCCTGGTTGACTTAAACATACTGTCTGTATTGCTTAACACGTGAATATACAAGATGTTATTCCATTGAAAAAAATTCAAAATAAAGTTTTTACTTAGAGTTTGGGAATTTAAAAATCAACCTCTGCAAATTTCACTTGTCAACATACGATAAAATGTCAATATTTTTGGGTTTAAGTGTGTTTAATCGTCAGTTTCATTAAATGTTACATTGTTTTACAATACATACTAACTAAATAAGTCGGAATACTATCAAAAAATAAATTCAAGTAGAATCCCTTTCTAGGTTGTACAAATTCACAAGTTCCCTTTCATTTTATATTAAAAGTAATCTTACGTCTTTATATTTCAATCAAAACAAATGATCCATCTTTCTTAGATAGTTAGAAATATTTTTCAGTTTTAGCAATTCTTTCTGTGAATGTCTATCGTTGATGAAAACTAAGTTCAGAATAACCCTATGATCGTAGACCGCCCACTAGCATTATCCATCCAACTCTGTCCTGGTCAATCCTTTAAATGCTCCTGCCAGTTGTCCTCCGTGCACGGCTTCGCAGTGTAGTCCATTACATGAATCCCGTATGATTTTGATGATTTCAGGTACAGCGTAGGGTCGAAGAAGGTTCCATTCTTGTTCCTTTCTCCCAGTCCATGTCGTTCTATGATATCTTAGTACCCGTTGTCGTCCATCCCAACTTCGGTCTCCCATCAGGATGATCAGGTTCTTCCCAGGGCACTTCTCTATGATTGATTACAGCCTCTCATAAAATTGATCTTTAATGTCGTCGTTGCTATCATTGGTAGGTGCATAACATTGGATAATATTCATTGTGATCCCCTTCTTCTTTGTTTTAAATGATGCTTTGATGATTCTGGATCGGTGAGATTCCCATTCTACAAGTGCATTTCATGCTACTTTGGACAGCATTAGAGCAACTCCCTGAGTGTGTGGAGCATTTTCCTTTTCGTGATCAGAGTACATCAGTATCTCTATCGAATCTAACCTTTTCTTCCCATTTTGTGTCCAATGTACCTATAAAAATTATTGCTCTGGTTGTTAGAAGGGGCATCGGCCTTGTGACTTCCGAAGAATTTCGGCTTCGATTATTTAATAAAACTTCACACAATTAGTTCCCTTTAACAATTTGTTAATAAAGCATGAAGAATAATGAGAATCCATTTTTATTTCTTGATTGCTTACCAACCGCTTACAATCATGTTTGTGTTGAAATATAACAATATTAAGTGATAAATATTAATGACCTCAAAATTGTTGAACCGACAGTCTTTATGTAAGGTCATCGCAGGTTAGATGTAGAAAACGTTCAGGGGCATAGGTTATAATTATGTATAATTTGACAATTGAAACTATAGGTTGCGCAGATAATAGTGTCAGATTTAGAGAGAATTACAGATAGGTGCTAAGTAAAGTACAAACCACGATTATGATTAATTTTCCATAGTAGTTATAAATTGGCAACTGTCTCCTTTTGGATATATAAATTTGGTTTGAGTTTTCTAATAGCTACTGCTTCAGCAAAACGTAAAAAAATTTGTGTCTTTTTTGTCGGTGAACTATTTTGGCAGGTCGGCAAAAGTCGATAATGTAACCGGTATTGACTAAAAATGTTGAACTATTGCATTGTTTGAGGCTGTGATACCTTTTAGTCTAAAGTTCTTTAGAATGTGCTCAGGATTACAAATATGTACTCTCTTTTCTGTTCTTACAGTGTATGTGCTTTGACGCGTACTTGTAAATTGTAAATACAATTGAATATTTTGAAGAATGTCAGTTTTTGTTTGTTCTAGGGAACCTTGCACTTATTCTGTGGTTAATTAATCCATTACTTACATTCTATTTGAAGCCAAGTTGTAAGAAACGACAAAATGTATTTCCAACTTTATCGTACTGGACGTATCCAATCATTTTGGCTTAATTATCGACCCACTTTTGTGAACAAAAGAAACCACAAAATAAAAATGAATTCATATTATTCTGTGTTAATCCCTTATTCAAATAATTAATCACTGAAACTTCATACTATTTATTTTCAAATAATTGTATATATGTTAGTCGACTGAACTGTTTTTGTTCTGTAACCAGTTAATATAACTTTCTATTTATTGATTCAGTGATGTTGATCATCATATTTATAACGATATAATTCAACAGTCATAATTTCAAAAACATGAAACATTCTGCAGTCGTTAAGAATTCATATGATGGTTGTGTAGAAATATTTAATAGTTGAAAATAATTAGGATAAAATGAAATGTACAATTAGGCTAATTATATATTAAAAGTAAATAAATAAAAGATTATTTACCTCGTTTTCATTGTACACTCATAATTGTATGCTGAGGTTTCTGTTATGGCTTAAGATCAAACCGTAGCATAGGATTCACAAACAAGGAGAAATAGTTATTCTGATCTGTATTGCCAGCGCATATTAAAAATATAAACTGAGAATGAATTATTTGCCTACACTAAGTATTCATACCATTTTGATCATTCTTTACTTATGTCAAAATTTGTAATCTGGGACCTGAACAAGTCAATAATCTTATCGACGTATACCGTTCAGCAATGTACTTTCTGCTAACTGTAGCTTATGGAACTTGAATATATGTAATGATCGCCGGTATGATTCAGTTTTTATCCATACTATTAACTCCTGACCAATCCAATGGGCAGAGAGAAAACAAAGGTCTCGTAGAAAACTATGATGAAAAGCGAATTAATAATTATTCGACAACTCATTATGTATATCTAAGCGACAGGATTGACTTATATCAGGACATGTAGACGGTAGACTCGAACTAAATAAATGATCTATTTACTTTTGTAAAATCATCAAATAATTGTCCCCTCAACTGCATATTACATGACAAAGTACTCTTTAGTGTAATAACTCAACATTCATTTTAATAATTTCAGATAGAATTTATTTCTTAAGAATAAACAAAATAAAACGGCTTAAATTACACTAAAACAGGTGTTTGAATACAATTTTTAAATGCTCTGTGCTGTTGTTTTCTTCAATCATTTCTCCTTTTACTAGTGGAGAACTATTGATTATACATTACACAATTTAAAAAATCTGAGTAGGAGATAATAATTGAGAGAAAACAGGTTTTCAATAAATTATTGTACAAAATTGCGGATTGTTATTATTATCTATCTTTTCCTGTCTGTATTCACATTGTTAATGAAATTTCGATATCCACTTGATAAGATTATGGTGATATAACGTTGCATAAATAACATATAAGCAAATTCTTTGACCCTTTGAGCAATAGATAGGATGTTGTAAGATGTAGATATAATAACGGTATTTCTAGTGGTTCATAGCTTTATAAATATTTATCATAAATCTGTAACATATCTTTTGAAGCGTACAAGTTCATGTTAACTCGTTCTTGTCTGTAGAAGTTGCACATAGTATTTGTATTCATTCTCTGGTTACGTGACCTTCTAGAGAGAGGGCAGTGGGTCCTGATAATTTAACTGCAAAAGCCTTTAAAGATTATGACAGTCCTGGTTGTTGCAGACTCGGACATGGTGCGGAGTCTTTTGATCGCATTTAGCAACAACGCTAGCACGTCTGTGATGCATTTATCTCCCTCTAAATCCGAAATATTTCTTCAGAATTTATCTGCAACTCGCGGACTAGTTATTGGTAGTGAAGTAGTTGAATGCGTTGGCCACTTTACTTATCTTAGAAGTCTCATCAGCCACAATGAGTTGGTGCCAGACCAAATCATGGCCTGGATTCGGAAAACCCGATTGGTTTTTGACATCTTGAATAATTCATAACATAGGCGAAATGTCCATTTCACAAACAAATGGCGTTTATATTATGTATTAGTTCCTTCTGTTCCAATTTATTCGTGTGGGACATGGTCTGTGAAAGTAGACATGAGTAGCTTTAAAGTTTTCAACCAAAGGTGTCTGTGAAGCATTGGTTGGGTTTTCAGAACAATTGGATGAGCTATGTCGAGGTTAAGCATAGGATATTCAAGAAATTGGTTCAGACGTTGGATGATACAGCTCGGAATCTCTTTCAACGGCTCACATTCATCTACTCTTTATCCTCCTTTCGATCTTGACCTTGAGTATGCCTTCATACATACTTTTGCTCAACTTATATTTCTAAGGTTTAGTCTTTACTCGTATCGTCGCTACTATAATATTTCGATCTTTTTGTTGTTTTCATTTTGTGTTAATCAGTTATGCCAAATTGAACCTACGCACATCTGTACTAGGCTCTTTGTTGACAATGTTTGTCTCAGTTTATTTGTTTAACCTCCCTGGTTCGATTTATGATTACAAATATCCATGATTAATTTTATTTCTTAAAATAGTGCATTTCTCTAATGCGACAATCATCGTATTGAAGCAATCTTATAGTTTTGATGTGTATATATTTTTCAGTTTGCTATGAAAGAATCATTTAAGTACTTAGCCAGTCGCCTTCCATAAACAAAGTTTCCTTTATAATCTTAAGGAGAGCGAAAACAAAGATTGGCGCAGAATAATGTGAATTCATTTTATTTCGTTATGTTCTCATCAGCTGCTTACAACTTAAAATCAAAGTAATTACTTATATTGACATATTTATAAATATGAAGGTGATTAGAGACGCATATGTGTATCATGATTTAGCGAAAATTCCAATAAAGATGACAAAAGCTCTGTCAGATATTTGAACCTGGTTTCTTCTGTTAAACAAGCGTTAGCTAGTCGGATAGAAATGTACTTTGTTTAATTTTTGCTTATAATTTGAAATATTTCTTGCAGTTTTATTTTGTTATTGATTTCACTTGTAATTAAACAAATTGTAATTCTTTTATTTGCTTCTGTGTGTTACTTTAGCCTTGTATTGCAGTACTTCCTCCGCCTGTGCAATTCAGTCGTGCTGCTGTACGACGTATAGCACGTGCAATCTTACAAAAATTACACGGACAAAGTAGACTGCCGTTTTCACCATCAATTACTTCTATATCAACTGGTTCAAGACAAGTTATAGCATCATCTTTTCGATTTAGTGGTGATAATCGTATTGATTCATGTGCAAATTTTAGTACACCATATACAAATAGTTCACGAAATGTTCATTATGACAGAGTCAGTCAAGTTTATCTATATGATATATGCCATAGATCAGTAGCTACAAATATATGGAAAGGAAAAAGAAGTTTATGTGCCTCCTCTTTGTATAGTGAATTGGTTTCAAACGCTAGAGATTCGGTAGCTTCATCTGCTCCTGTACGCCATTTATCAACAGCAGTGAACCGTTCTATCTCTGCACAAGAATCTGTATGTATTATCTTATTGTTTGAGATAATTATTTTCTAAATTTGTAGAATTTCATTCTCGCTTTGTTCTATAGAACAATACTTACCTGGAATATTTACCTACTAGGCATTATTTAACCATTGTCATAATGTGTGATAAAGATTGAGAATTAGTTGGTAATGTAATTTATTGAAATAATATGTTTTGTAAAGTGGTTTGTTGTTTGTTCACTTGGAAGATAGTCTTCATTAACTTGTTTTTAGCATTCTGGTGTGTTCCCGAAGTCCTAGCTAGAAGTTTTGATTGCTGAGTTTCATCTTGTCGGGGGCAGGATAAGTATTATCAAAGAAATGTTGACCATCCACCTATATCTTTTGTTGACTGTAGTTGTGAATGTGAACTTCTTGATTTCATTTCAATGAGCCTAATTGTCCAAATTTCGATATCGTGATTTTTTAGTGCAGAATAGGGAAACGTTTCAAACCTAGATGAAATAACTGTCTAGTGTGCCCCGAGTTCAGACAGCTCTTTAGATTATTGTTTATCCTCGACAAAAGGCGATTTTAATTAACTATAGGAGGGTTTATGTACAACATCCAGCATTCATTCACATTACATTTGAGGAAAGTTTTGTTTTTCTCAGATAACTGATGTCCCCTACCACATACTAGTTATTTTTATAATTTATTTCATTCAAAGGTAAACATCAAAACTGAATTTGCTGTAAAAATCGGTAAATTTTTAAGAAACACTTACCAGTGGTTTTTACTTCTGTGTAAATCTCCTTAGTCCGTAACGTTGAGATCAGTTGTATTTCAAACAAGACCCAAATACGTTTCTGATGAACAAATTATTCATTATATCATAAAATCAATATCATACTTTCTGATTGTTAGATTGATTTTTACAAATAACTAGTTTTATTTTGGATGTAAATGAAGCATTTATTCAATACTATTTGTTTTTTTTGAATAAACTTTATCTGTACACTGTAAGAAAGCGGCCATATACGCGTTACTTATTTATTCCATACTTGCTCATGTTTAGCAGGTTATATTGTCCACCCAAAGTGAGCGCTTTCGAAACGCGTCTCATAACATAACCCTGCTTGACTCTTCAAAGGATTACAGTGAATTCCGATCACTCTACTTCACCAAAAGTCTCCTTCAAAACCACACGTACAGTCAGAAAGGTCGGCTCTAAAGGAATGAAAATGAAAAAAAATTATATGCAAAATAGACTATTGCTATTCAGAAGTTCAAGCCTAACCACTGTGTACAAAAACAGTATGTTCAGTCCTACCTGAATTTTTGTCTTCTAGAATCTATCGTCTCTCGTTTCATTATTTCTCTTCCTTTCCAAATACTTTCACAACTACTAATTAACCATCATTACAATTTTTAATTATTCTGCTCTTAATAGCTGTCAAGTGGACAATTGTCTTTATCTTTGCACTTCTCATCAACTGATTACCACATAACTTCCTTTGAATATCTGATTTTCAAGTCTTGATAGCATATCTTTTCAAATCTTCTACATATTTAGCATCATTCTATCTTATTATAGAATACTATTTTAACGGATAAAGTTAACTTTAAATGCGATTGTACGGCATAAGCATATGGAATCGTCAAAAAGAAAATTCAATTCTCTAAATCGCCTTCATTTTTCTCCCATGATACCATGTGCCTCTTTTCTTATTCTATAACTTTTGTTTAGATAGAATTTACACACTTGTTGTTTTTTCACTGGTTCGCAATTGATTGGTCACTGTGTATTAACCAATTTTATATGTGTCAAGTCCTTAATGTTGATTGAAGTCTATTGATCAATTTACACTGTGGTCACTAGTCTATGTGACTTGACATCGCGCGCACTATGTGTAGCTGTAAGGTGGTGATTGATCGATTAAATTCATTCAGCAGCAAATAGGACTTGATATACACGACATTAGTCACTGAGTAGTTACCAATCAATTGTAAATACGTCCTAGTTTTATAGAAGTTCGGTCGCAGTTCGGATAGCCCACTAGTTAGGTCCTTGACTGTGAATCTGTGTGACGCATGGATGAACACTCCAGGGAACATCAGCTACCTCAAGATTACAGGTATATCTTGCTAACAAGTCCATAACAACACGAAACCTAGGTTCAGAGTATCCTGTCGACCAACTTCAACCACCACCTTACAGTTTTATTATAGTAGATAAAGGTTTATATTTTCGTGCGGTTTCACTTTACATAAATTCCATCACGTGGGTTAGATGCTTTGGATGCATCCATTAATCATTACTTGTCTTGCACATTTAAATACTCTGTGATAAGTAATCATCTGTCACCTGCATAGCTCTTGACAAGACATGATGAGTGTTAAACGGTTATTTTATTTGTATCCGTTTGGGGATTTCGTCAACCTATTAATCATATATAGTTGATGGCAGTTCCCGGCCAAGGTAAAACTTAAAGAACATGAATCACTCAATCATTCGGAAGTTCATTTTTATTACTATATCGGAGTTACTTTGAAAGTGTAAATGAACTATTGTATGTCATTTGTTACTATAAGCAAGAATATCAATAATGAAAGTCTAATACCTGTGTTTTCAGACATTTTTGAAAAGGATAATCGTCAGTAAGCAAAATGACCGACTAGATGATAAAATCATTTCAGTGAGCCAATGCTACAGATGTTTTTGATAGTCTTCAAGTACTTTTGTCTGTTAAATCAAAACATATACAGTTTTATACAGTTGTTAACAATTTGTTGTGTCACAGAATTTCTATTAAAACCGACTCTTGTCTAGTTTATTGACCTCTATATTTTTAGTTCATTCTAATTCTATAACCAGCACATTATGAAAGATAACTTAAATCTAAGATGAACACTGTACATTGCACGTCACACATTAAAATTATTTTAATGTTATTTCGAAACTTTCGTCAACACTGAGAAGACTTGACCCGCAGGTTGATTTGACACTGTTATATCACGACAATAACGATTAAGGTATTGAGGTTTCTGATTGGCCCACGCTAAAGTCTATTAATGGATAATTGAAGTCTCTTCTAATACTATACAGCAAATAAGAACTTGAATAGACCCTATGTAACTTGCACAACACTTCTACATTAATAATCCACACCGCTAATAAAGAGATGGCATTTTCTGGATAACTTTATATTCCATATAGAAGTCAAAAAATTGAAAAAGAATAATTCTGATTTTCATGGTAACGAACAATGACCATGATGGATGTAACAGATATAACAAACTAAAAGCGATAGTAATTAATTACATAACAGGAAATATTACTGCAGTAATACGGATTAGTATTATATCATCGTAGTCATTCTTTGATGAAAGAAATGACGTTTAACAATGAAAAACGTGGATAAATTAATTTCTCATCTCAGCAGATACCAAGAGTGAAGCAAAATATGTCTTAAAATACATAGTATTTAAATTTTTAATAAAAGAATGAAACAATTCCTAATTAGTTCAGAATCTTTAAATTTATAGAAATATTTTAAGTGAACACTGCTTGTGTTTTCATTATGCTTATAAATGTATATAAATATGCATATATGTTTTTTTTATTCCTTTCAAGCATATTCGATTGAAATTATCAACACCTGATTCACCTTCAGCATTAACATCTTTAATCAGTTTAGATTCTTATACAGGGCATATTATATCACGTGAATTGAATAGTCTTCTGTTAGATCAATCTATTAAACTAGCTATACTGAATGATATACGTCGTGAGTTAAGTCGTCCAAAATATCGTCCAGATTTTTTCTACGCTGGTAATAAACATAAACTTCCCTTGTATCATGTGCCTGAATATACAACATCTAAACAATTACCATGTGATGTAAGTTTACATACATACTTCTTTCGAAACATAAATAATAAATGCTAATATTATTTTATGAATGCACTCTCACTTTTCTCCTTTAAAAAAAACCTATGTGATTTTATTGATCTTTTCGATTTTATCAAATTTTTTCATATAGTTTCTTTCTTTAAAAAACAGTAGAGTGAACCAAAGTTCTGTTATAATTCACACGTATGCTGATGGAAATGTTAGAGAGAGAGAGAAAGGAGTTACACAAACTCTTTCTGAATTATTGATTTAGGTTATACAGAAGTAGTTTGTAATAAAACTTTGATTGGCCCGAATTTCTTAAAATATTGCAAAATTTATTTCATATTACACTCGTACATAGTTTTAATATTTGTCTATTTATTATTATGTAACCATAAAAATCAACCACTTGAATAGTATGATGTTTTTCTTTTTAAACATTGAGTATTTGTATGAGAAGTTTCTAATAAGTAGTATTAAACGGTTATAAATTACTTAAGATAAAAATCTTCAGAATATACTGTTTCTTTATTTGTATTTATATACACCAACCGTTTAGTTATATCTTTTTAATGCGGTAATATATCCAGTTAATAATTGCAAAGGATGAGTATGAGAATTCATTCTGGTTGCCATTGTTTAACAGTCCTAAATACGATACATTTTAATAAAATAGAGTTATTTATATTAGTGATCATCTTACATCTTATACCGAAGAGTTGAGAACGAGCATCGCAACTATTACTAACTGTCGTCGGGTGATCATCTTATGCCCGGAGTATGAATGTTCATATAGGCTTAGTCGTAATAATGGTAACATAATACTATCGTATCTCGGGATTTTTGATAACGGCCGAAATGACTGAGTGTTGAATATGACCTTTAAACGCCCTATTACAACAGTTGATTTTTTTGGAATATATATATATATATATATATATATATATATATATATATATATATATATATATATATATATATATATATATATATATATATAATATCCAATTAAAAATTTATGCATTTAGTCTTTGTTTCATATGACCTATATTGATGGCAATTTTAAACCAATGGAAAATAGGCTTTATTCAGAACAATTCATATGACTTATTTTTTGTTTTTTACTACATTCATATACACACAAACTTATTTCATCAAAATTAACAATATTTTGTCGAAATTTTGTTCACGATACATGAATTTGTTGTCTTCACGTTTATTTTTCTAACGACAGACGACAATCAATTAGTTATGTTCGCTTAACTAAGAGATTATGACACAGAAGTCTGTGAATTCCAGACTTGTTTATTATTGTACTTGGCGAACAACATTTTTCTGCCTAGAAAACTAACTTGTATCGTTCTCCCTCATGCTTCTTCCGGTACAGAAAAATACTGTAATTCTCAAATCTCTCATTTCAGGTCATAATACTGCTCACTGTGCTGATGTGATGTTGCAACTTGGCCCTATAGATATTTGTGCCAGATTCTAAGTTGCTTGTAATTGATAGGCTGACTTATGACAATAAAAATAGCTTAACAAGTTAATTTGTGACCCGAATATTCTAATTGTCATTACACTGGTAAATGGTGCGAAATAAGTCGACTTGGTTGTTGTTTATGTTCACTGTATATTATCTCATTTCTGTGTATTACTTCAGGAATTTCAGCAAAGTTGTATTCTTTTATTTTCAAGGTAATATATGTAGACTGTGAATATATCATTGAACTTGCCTCAACAGTTTGACTACAGTCGTCATTCATTAAATTTCTGTTTACTCATAAAACTGAATTTCTGAGAACTTATTTTTTATTTTCAAGGCTATTTTTATTTAAAATTTCACTTGAAACGGATGTAATAACTTTAATTGAACTAAGTTTTACATGAAGTATGGTCGATAAAATGATGTTTACCTTATAACAAGAGATACATGAAGGTTGTTGTATCAATCTCTTATACACAGAAATTATTGAATGAGAAAATATCCTTATGGGAAATTTTTAACCTTTTGTTAAATGATTTATACCATTGTAACACTAATTAAAAAAAAAGTAAATTAGAACATTGAAATAAGTTCCTAATTATATGTTCAGCGAATAAATTGATTATCGAAAAATCGATCTTATCAAACAAATAACAAAATCTACTTCATCGTTCACTTCACTTCAAAGTCTTTATGTTACTCCTTGAAAGAGGAGTAGGAGTAACATAAAGACTTTGAAGTGAAGTGAACGATGAAGTAGATTTTGTTATTTGTTTGATAAGATACTGGTAAGCTACTAGTATTTGACCACAGATGCCTTAGAAATATTGCTGGCGTCTGTTGGGATAGTGAGGTTAGACACAGGGTATTAGGGAATTAATGTAAATCAGTTGATGTAGTTGTGAATCTTCATCGACTGAGATGGTTGGGCCACGTGTTGCGTATTCCTGAACACTGATTACCACGACACGCAACGCTAACCGGTGTTGGAGATGGTTGGAAGAAAGTTAGGGGCAGCCAAACCAAAACGTGGCATCAGTGCTTGAAGTTACTAACTTCTAGTCTGAGCCATGTTGGTAGATGCAGACTACTTGGTTGGGGTCCGCGTGACTATCGTAACCAATGGTTGGAGACTCTTGGTGACATGGTTCAGAATCGATGACAGTGGCGTCGGTGTATACACTCACTGTCATCCCTTAAACTGAGAGACTAAAATCGCTTCATATCTTTTTTTCTACGAACTAATTCTTCCTTCCTGTACTATATCCTTATTGCAATCATTCTTTTATATATTACCACCTTTGAATTAACTACTTCTATGAATCCCGTGTTCATCTTGTTGTGTTATTGAGGTATGGCAACTTGGACCGATGCATATATGTGCCTGGTCCTACGTTGTAGCTGACTGACTGACTCCTTGAAAGAATCTTCATCACTAGCACTAAACAGAACAACGGTCTACAAAAAATGTTTTCTGTTTGATTAATAAACACCAAACATTAACATAAATAACACTAAATATAATATAAAAGATATGATTTCGAATTGTATTTGATTAATATGCTAATACATAAGATTGTTTACCACTTGTCAAGTTTGATGCGGTTTCTTATGCTATAATTCTTGTTTTTTGTACTTTTTGTTATCAAGCTTAATAGACATGAAAATTTGTCTCACAATAAAATTAGTAGTCTTGCTTTTTGTATCCACTGTTTCGTTTTTTTTTACCAACCTGCTAACTATATATGATTTGTTCTTTTGTCTAATTTATTGATCCTTTCTTTTTTTCAATACAGGCAAATTACGCTTTAAAAGAGTTGGCAATTCAATCACATAATCCCACTGTAAATCAATGTCCAAATTTATTCGAAGGTGTTATTCCTGTAGAGAATATCATGTTAACTCGAAATAAATCACTTATACCTGATAATCAAAAATTTGACGTACTCATTCATTCATCAAAACAAAATAAGAGTATTTCTAATCTTCAAAAATTTATTACTTCACCAAAAATCAATGAATTATTCTCCTATCTTGCAGATATGTTAGATAATCAAATACTTAAAAGTTTTACATTTATTATTATTTCAATCGCATGTTTTGTAAATATGTTGGGTAAGAGTGAATTTCAAATTTTCCGGTTTCTTTTTTAAAATAAACAGTGATAGAGCTAATATTTTTTAAATTGGTTACTGATAAGTATATAGTAGTTAATTTCAAGTGTACTTAGTTTTTCTAATTGATTGTAATGAATAACAAGAACGTTCTGGGTCCTGTGATTAAGTTTCTGTTTCTTCTGAAACAGTAATGTATAAAATACTGAAGTTATTTAATTATATTTTATCCTCTTGTCAACTTGAGTCAGTATAGTCATTTAAGGAAAATCCTTATGGAGATTTGGTTCTAGTTAATTATCAAAGTTCGTTGAATGTATCATATATGTTTTTTTTAATGTCGAATTTCTAAAAGAAATATCATCCGATATCATGATTATGAGTTAGGCTTCATTTATTAATTAACTATCCATTAATTGAATATTAGAATTTATTGTGAATTTATATAGTAGAAATAATTTTAATACCTTCGTCTCTCCGTTAGAATAAGATAATATTTGTGATGGTTACTATAGGAATAACTTAATTGTATGTAATGAATACCTCTTTTCAATGTAAGTAAATTATATTTATTTCTATTCTCCGGCATACTAATTATATTTATCAAGTGTTCATTTATTCTAGCAAGAGAATACTAACTAATAATCATATTTCTCATCCAGATATTTATCTGTGTAGTGTTAAAGATATTACTTCATCATAAGAAAATTGACTAATAACTGTAAAATATGCGACAGATCTTGTAATCTCTTTTTTGATAGAAGAATACCCCTAAACAATTAAAAAGAGGATGATTGAAATGAGTCCAATGGTTGTAAAAAATCTTTACTAACTATATACCTCTAGATACGGTGCTCTTAAGCACAATTTTTCTGTACCATCCAATATGCAAACTTCACTTTTGATATTGTCAACAAATGTACTTCATTTGAATCATAAATAGAAAAGTACAAAGTATGACGCTTCTTGATAAAATCCATTATTCTCTTTTAGTTGGATGGATTTGTCTGAGACAGGTAAAAATCAGCGATAAACCCAGTTTCTGAACTCGCTTTTAATCGCTAGTCAACATCTAATAATGCAACTCAGTAAATGAGTACAGATTTAAGTATAGGTCTTTAGTCTACAATTCCTACTTGAGTAGCGGAGATGTTATTAGGCTATTGAAATTGCGATCAGCATAAGGTAGTACTAATGTTTCAATTAGTGACTAGACATTGAATACTTTAACCAATGAATCACTAATCTAATCATATCCTAGAAAATCCTGTGTAGTTGCATATCTTGTTTTATTTATTAATAAATTGAAATGCCATACTTACTATCTGAAGGATCGATTTCCTTGCTAGTTCAACGAATCAGTGAGTTTGACATCCATGGCTACAATTTACATATTTAAATGAAGTTACATTTTTTAATATCCCAACTTTTTTCCTCATACTATTTTCCTTTCTATTCCTTGCTCCTCGTTACAGTTTTTTTAGTTCCATTTCACTACCTTCCACTTTTATTGGATTACGGTGGTCTTGAATGTTATTTTAATTCATTTTGGTGTCCGAATGGATTGACCGATGAGATTAAATATAATAGAACATCTGGTCAATTTGACCAATCAACTGTTAAATATATCAACGCTTTAAAGAGAAACTATGCATTTCCTAGTTCAGAATCCCTTTTTTTAACAATCGGTTGTGCTAGTATTCTTGGTCGTTTATTTGCAGGTGAATCATATACTTTTTTGATTGCAAATGTATTTGATTGTTTTAAACACTGACAAATTCATTTAATAATATTAATATTAAAATTAATAGCGGGGGTCGTTTAATTCCATATACCTTAGGAGTTTCATTCACCATAATAGATTAGACACTAATGATGTCCTGAAATATTTACAAAGCTTATTTGTTTTATACCATTAGTGATTCAGGCAAGATATTAATCAAACTATTCAATTTTTATCAGTGGTTCATTCGGAATTTTCGAGTGAGTAGAAAAGAAATTGATTTGCTAAGAGTAAGCTAAAATTAGTTTGTGTTACAAATTTCTTTTATCTTTCATTTGGACAACAATAAAAGCAGGTCGGACAACAGATATGACTGGCTATCTTTGGAAAGTCTTAATATCGACGTTTGTTGTCTATCTGAGACCCGTATTCAAGACTCTGGTGAAGTACTACAAATTCGCTCTTCATCTGTCGCGCTTATCTGGGAACCATGTGGCATCTTCGTTTGGTCTTACTGGCGTTGGTGTCGCACTAAGCGCTAGAGTTGAGGCAGCACTAATCGATTGGATCCCCATTAACATTCGGTTATGTGCTGTTAGATTAGAGAGTTCTATCAAAGTGAGAAGAAATAGGCGTGAGAAACGATGTCTTTTCGTCATCTCCGCCTATGCCCCGACAGATTGCAGCCCGGATGCAATCAAGGATGAATTCTACCACCGGTTAACTACTCTTCTCTAGAAAGTGCGTTCGACAGATACTGTAGTACTAGCCGGAGACTTGAATGCTCAGGTTGGGTGTCTAGGCACAGAAGATAGTCGTTTAGGTGGTCGATGGGGAATTGTTGGTCGCATTATTATTATTACACTACCTTACACTAGTCTGTTCGTTATTGTTCTCTTTTTACGCTCCTTATCTTCATTTTTTCTCTTCGAATTCTCATTGTTTTGGGTGGTGCATATATATTAGGTGCCCTCTTGTTCCAATATTTATGTGCTCAAATAAATACTAATAAATAATAATAAAAGCAATATAAAAAAAAGCTTCAAATTTTCTACTTCTCTATGTTATGGGACACATTTCTGATCCTCTTAAATCTAAGTTTATTAAATTTTTGTGTGTAATTATTACATCTGTTTAGTTCTATTCATTATTGATTAATTGTGTTTATTTGTTTGGGAAAAAGGACGGTTTATATTTAATAGTAACAGTTCTTTAGATGATTTTCAGAAGTTAGATTAATTCAAATGATTTCTTTTGATTTTGCACCAACTTCTAAGGATAGGATAACGGTAAAATCTGTGTAGTTTGTTTCCAAGTGTGTAATGAGTGAACTAGAAGTAAATGGTATTATATAATTAGATGACATATTTATTAACTGAACTCATAAGAAACAATGTTTACGTTTTACTCTAGTGAAAAACAATGACTAAAGTTAATACCAAGGTATTCTGGCGACTGAGATTAGCTGAGTAACCGTTGGTAGTTAAATTTTAATCATTGGGTTTCAGGTTCAAGCCTTCATTTGTCACCTAATAGTCCTGATTCGTTATCACTTAATTATTCATTAGAAAAATATTTTTATAAATATACTTTCCCTTCATCTTCCTCGAAATATTAGATACATATTATTTTACCCATAACTATTTATTCCCCATTAATCTATTATTATTTTTTTTATTCATTCACATAAACCTGTTTTTCATATCCTTATACTATTTTATGATAACTGATGATTCTTCCTTATTTGTTATCTGTACATCGGATGAATTTTTATCATACCCAACTGCTCCATGTTTTTTTCATACTTAAAAGTATCTTTTTTTGTCATAAGTATATTTTGTTTACATTGGTTTGAGATGAAGTATGCATAAATTATCGTACACAAGCTTTCAAAATATGCATTTTCACTAATCAATACTCAGGGGACGATTTTCTGTACAACATCATTAGTGTTTATTACAATTTAGTTTTCTTCTTTTTGTTTCTCCATATTGAGCTACATTTCAAGCGTAAAATTGGATTTAGTTTCAAGTTATGGATCAGTTTATTATAATTTTTCCTATGCATGAAGCATAAATTATTTTCAAGATTTGGTGTAGTGTATTGAAGGAAGAATAACTTGTCATTATATTGCTAACAGGTGTGCTGGTTAATTCTTGTAAACGACACTTATACACAGAGATGTCTTTTTATTACTGACATAAAAATATGGTCTGTAAATTAATATTCAAACTGGTTTCTTTGTCTTAGACTAATTGATTCTCTCAATACACCAAACAATTATTAATTGTAATTAAATACTAGGTAAATCCATTTCATTTTCACTACTAAGATGAGTGTGGACTAGCAAACTTTTACATTATGCATTCTTCGAAAATATTTTGTAGCTGTCATTAAACAGACGGCTATTCTTTAACATGCCGGTTATAATATCATATCATTTTCGTAAAATATTTTGAAAGGATCTATGGTGGTTGTGCAATAACTAGAGTGAGTTGATTGACCTAGATCAGTACTCACGAGAACTCTGTTTGATATCAAATGATAGAAATTACTGTGTTACTAATTTAGATGGTTATATTAATATAAAAGTTCCATGTGATATGGTCTTAAGTTACTTTTCGAATAATGAAGTTTTAGTTCTGATTGTTACTAATAACGTTGGAAAAGGATCATCCAATGTCGTGAGTCCACTCAAATCGGAAAATGCAGGGGATTTAATTCTTACCCCGTGGTTATTTAATTCCATGATCTCAGATGAAACTGACGATTCTGTATTAGATCTGATGTTATGTAGTTGGTCGATACTGCTGAAGAGTTCCAAATAACGATCGAGTACTTTTTGATTTTCAATAGTTCTTCAGTTGATCTTAGCCTGTATCAAAAACCCTCAAATTATGAGAATTTCTATAATCGAAGGTTACTGGCCTGATGAAACTGAAGCCAAACAAATAATTAATAAAACCTTACTACTTAATATAACCTTATAATACATACTTTCATATTGCTATTTGATGAATAAAGTTTTAGGAAATGCAGGAGGTAATTTCTTTTCTATTTGGTTTATTTCTGTTGAATTTATTTGAGCCTTAATTACTGTCCACTCAAACATCTGTTAGTATATGATTTTAGTAGATTAATAATTATTTTGTATTTTTCCGTATACAGGATTGTATATTGAAAAGGGTTTGAATACAAATCGAAAATTTTTGTGTCGGTTTCCTCTCATGGTAGATCCTATGCTCCTGAACAATTTCGCTTTAATTGTTTGTGGACTTGCAGTTATCTCATTTCCATTAGCAATTCATGGTATTCTGTTGACAAAAAATTCGGACCAGTCTTCGTCTGAACGCCTTATGCAAGCCTGGTCTTTAAAGTTTCGGCGTCATTTGTTATATCTCGGTAGTATAGTGTATGGTTTAACTAACAGTAAGTTATATTGTTGTATCATTGTTTGATTACAATCGACTCACTAAAAAAATTTTATTTATGTAATTGTCTTTTTCATAAATTCATCTCATCATAGTGGAAAAATTAGTTCAAATGAATATTTAGGTTTTCGGGCTATTCCTACCATTAATTACACAATTATTTCTACCTAAAACATCCGAAAGTCATTTAAAACCTAACTTCTTTTAGCTCATTATGTTCACTGGATAATAGTTTCATATTTAATAATTGGTCGTTGTTCCACTTACCATTTTTGAACCAAACTAATACTTACTTACGCCTTTTACCCCTTATGGAGGAGCATAGGCCACCCACCAACATTCCCCATCCAACTCTCCTGGTCAATCCTTTCCAGATGTTCCCAGTTGCTATTCATCCTTTCATGTCTGCTTCCAATTCCAGACACAATGTGTTTCTTGGCCATCCTCTTTCCGTTTCCATTCAGAATTCCACGTTGGGGGCTTGCCTCATGATGCAGTCTGGTGATTTCCTCAATGCGTTTCCTTTCCACCTTCAGCATCTTTTCCTAGTTTACTCTTAATCTGGAAGCTGACTTTTTCCTCCCACAGCAGACTGTTGCTGATGGTATCTGGTCAACGGACATCGAGTATCTTGTGTAAATAACTGTTTATAAATACTTTTACCTTTTGATGACGGTTGTGTTAGTTCTCCATGTCTCGACTCCGTACAATAGAACTGTCTTGACTTTTGTATTTAAGATTGTGATTTGGATGTTACCTGACAGTTGTTTTGAGTCCCATATGTTCTTCAATTGTAGAAATGCTACCCTTGTTACCGTTGTCAATCCGTGCCTTCACATCTGCATCAAATCTTCCTTGTTCATCAAGGATGCTGACCAGGTACGTGAAAGTTTCCATCTGTTCCAGAGCTTCTCCATCAAGTGTGATTGACTTGGTTTTCTCCGTGTTGTATTTGAGGATCTTGGTTTTTCCCTTGTGAATGTTGAGGCATACTGATGCAGAGGCTGTTGCTACACTCGGCCTGTAGTTCTAAGGTTACTGCCGGTCCCAAGCCCAAGTAAAGGATGAAGGTTGGGTATGGGGTCAGCAATCCCATCTTGTAGGAAACGACCTTGCTAAGAAATTGCTAACTAGAATAAACAATTTATGCTATTTGAACTCTGTCTTAGGAGTTGAAGGATTTCCATCCGGAAGAATTATGACGCTTTATGATAAACGATATTTTTCAGAACTCACGAGGCGGATGCCTTTTCTAACGACCAGAGTAACAATTAATATAGGTACCAAACGTTATATAAATATAATCAGATGTTGGATAAAGTAACGTCTTTTTGTCGATAATTTTGGATAGATTTTGATGCGTACATGTTCCTTATGCTAAGTATCAAATTAACTCGTTGGTGTACTTCATTTTCATTTTGGTGTTAGGACTTAATTCACTACTAATCAATAGCATATTTTCATTTTTCAAAGCTGTGATCAATTCTGTGAGTCTTAGAAAAATGGTCTACCTTATTAATATCAACGTTAGATTTCTCATTATATATAAAAGTGACTGTTTGCTAATTTGTTTGTTGCTCAAGATCCTCCGAGTATTACTTGCAAACGTCTGCAAAAGTCAGAACAGATCTGAAAAACATTTCTTCCAATCAACATCTAATAGAAAAATCCTTGAAACTTCTAGGAAACCAAAGGACAGCATATCTCACTCTGATTAAATAATTGCCTATTGTGTTATTAAATTTAGTTCATTTGCTGATATGATAAGCTCAGACAGTTGAGATTTACTTGTTCATCAATTTTGATGTTGTAGAGATCGTCTGATATGTGTTATTTTCATGACTAAACTTTGTTATAATTTGATCACCACTGAGAAATATTTCTGACGCTACATCATCCATCCGGCTGTGTCATGTTTGTTTTGTATTATTTGCCTTTTTGATCTATATTTTTCATTTTCAGCCATATCAATTTCTTTACGAAGTGTTATTCTTGTTGAGTTATTTGGTCTTCATCGTCTGACAAATGCATTTGGATATTTACTTATTTTCCAAGGCCTTGGTGTAATTTGTGGACCTCCATTATTCGGTAAATAATGTTCTTATCTTCCTATTGTCTTTCATGTTTATTAAAAGCAGATGTACGGTTTATGCTCATTTATATCATTACAAAGTAAATGATTAAAATATAGTTTGGTTCATTCTAATGGGATAGTTTTTAACATATGTAAAAAATAGTTGTGAAAATCAGTTGCGTTTGTCGTTGAATGGTTAACAAGAATTAGGTAACAGTCTCACAATTATTCCTTTCTCTTACTTATATATGGAACTAAATTCCAATACATTTACGTTGGGTGCTCTTCCAACTAAACTTTTTTTACTTTAATGGTTATCGACGGCAATGCTGAACGGCCTGTAAAACTTTTCTGTAAAAAAAAACATTGTTTAATTTACATAAATAAATGTTGAAGCCTATAGTCATTTTCTTTGTCTTAGTGTGGATTTCGATGAATTGAATGTACTGGTATTTTTCTCTATCGACTTAATTATCATTAGCTTTCTCATGGTGTGGTATACTAAAAGAAACATTTTTATTACATGTGAATAATCACTTTTTCCTTATGAAACATTAAAGATCGGACGCTACGGTTGTTATTTAATATCGTCTTGTGAAATGTTATACATAATATTATGACAAATCACTTAATGAATTAGTGAATTTTAATCAACTGACATGATTGTGCATGTATAGCATACGTCCGACCACCTCCTACTTTGACGGGCGATGTTATTTGATTTAGGAGTAGTAGGCTGAGAGGAAACTAGGGGCGAACAAACCAAGGCTAGGTATCAGTCCATTCAGTCACTGATAGTTTTACTTTATCATGTAAGTAGATGTAAACTACCAGGTTGGGGTCCGTATGATTGTCGTAACTTCGCTCAGAATCTAGCGTAGTAGTGTACATGGATACACTCCTTATCTTTCCTTAGATCTTTTGAATTTTAAAAAATATCATACTTTTTGTTCCATGAATTAACTACTTGAATCATATTGTCGGCGCCTATTGTTTTCAATTATCACTGATACTGGTACTACTTCTACTGCATGATGATTTCATTTCGCCAATGTGGTGTGAGTAATTGAAGTGATTCATGTATGTTTAAAGTTCTACGTTGTATATGATTAACTGAGTACATGATTAATTGGTTTAGTTATTATTTTCTCTTCGCGATAGAACCACATTTACAGATAGTTTCTTTTCTCAAACATTCTTAAAAAATTTCCATGATATGAATACCGTTTTCAAGCAGTGTCCCACAATTAACTAAAGGGCTTTGTGGATATTACTGAATTTTTGTAGGCAACATCATCAACTGATCTTAGTTAGACAACCACCGAAACTTATATATGGTGTGCGACTATTCCTCACTAATGGCATCAGAAGATTGTTGAGCAATATTGCGAATTAATTAGAGCAAGAAATGTGCAGTATGGGATTGTAACTTACATGTCTAAGGGTTGGATACACTACCGGTTAGACTTCCGGTGCGAGTGATAGATGTGTGTTGCTAAAGAGCCGCGTGCTAGAATGGGATAGATATCCAGTACTTTTTCCTTCTCAATGGTTATATAAATAGTGTCTCGTCACCCCTAATATATTTACATACACTCGATTTTCTGTAAGCTCTATGATACTAATTCATTTCTTGTTATATCCCGTATTCTAAAATCTATTCCTAGTGTCTTCTCGTATTTTTGAAAGAATTATTCGAAAACAACATATTTTCTACTATGTATATATTACTTTACACTACTACCTTGATTGCAATGATGTATGTTTCTATGCGTATCAGTTCATCAGTAATTTCCTGAGATGGGAAAATAACCTCGATTACTACCACTATTATTTTCACAATATTTAACTGTCATCTAAACAACGACCACATAAAATACCAGAATAATGAATTTATCTACTTCGACTGTGGGACAGTGAATGGTTAAAGCATACTTACCTTCCAGTCAGTTTGTTGATGGAACGTTTCTCCTATCATAAATGTAGCGCTGATTAACATCACTAGTCACCATCTCATAATGAACCGTATGATGCAAAACTGACTGCATAAAATCATCTGTTCTTGATAAATGAGTTACATCATATATTTAACTTATCTACTTCAGTTCGACCATTCAGATAATAATATTATTATTTATTGTCACACATGAAATTTCAGCTGATTAACATACTCTTACTGTCGATACACATTTGAATGTCTAGACATTATGACCTTTTATGTGAATATGTTTACTAGTTGATAAAATTAATCATAAAAACAAAGGGGTTACAATATAAGTATATTCATACACATACATGTTGTTTACAAGTGAACTATCTAAAAATAAACATTTATTTGGTAATTTTGACTAGGTTCATTAAAAAAAATTTCGTATCAACAAGTTTAGGGTTTGTTAATCTTCGTCGAGATTTTATTCACTAATGGTTTTTTTTTAAAATACGGAATTTTTCGTTATTATTCTAATAAGTTGTTATAACAGAACGAATATTTCGGAAAGTTGGAACTTTCGGAACTATTTTTCGAATTACTCTCATCTGTATTTTTGTTTTATAGTTAATAGATAATTGTTTTGTAAAATCTCTATATATTTCAGCAAACCGATCAAATATCGTTAGATGATTTACTGTACTCTAGTTATTGTTAATTAATAGTGTACTGCTTGCTACATTCTCTACCATTTATGGTATGACTGTTTAAAGTATGAATTCTTATTTGATGTACTGTGTAGCCAGTCATTTTATGTATAATATCGTATGCCTTTTGAGTCATGATTGGATTGAGTACAATAAAAAATTAATCTGGCACTTATCTGCGTTTTCTGATTGGCTCCTGGGTTGAAAGGAGCTCGATAGCCCATAGACGCTAAGGTTTTACGTGTTATTCATTGGCCAATGGGTCAAATGGTACTGTAAATGTTACCGGTCCTTCTGGCTATATAGGTGAACTAACTGATGGTCGGAATCATGATATCAATCAAGGATTCCAAGGCATGACAGCTGTTTCGTCTTTTTATCAACTTTAATTATCCGACTAGGTGTTATTTTTTGAAGTGCTAAACTTGTTGTTTATTAACTTTTTCTCATTTGACCCACGTTATAACACTCTATGACTGTGTAGACCTATTATTATGCATTTTGTTTTATTAAATATAGCGTAAACAAAACATCATGTCGTTTATTCTGTTGTATTGTGTACTTCTAAATGTATTTAAGAAATTAACATAATATTTTATCAGACGGTGTAATCGAGTATTTTCAATAAAAAAGTGCATTCCTACAATTTACTGAATCGATATTTCGTCTATAGGAGGTATTTCTGTCAATCGAATGTATGAAAACTATATTCATGATAATAAGGTTTTAATCGGTTATCATCTAATAATTAGTCATTTATCAAGTACTGATATTGCAAGTTATCGACGTGTGAATAAAATTGACGCGGTTATTTTCATTATAGAGTACATTTTACACAATGAACATGTTTTTTTAATGGAACAATTTGCTATTCATAATCATCAACAAACGTGGACAACAAGACTCAAATTAGAGAAAATACGGATAAATAATTGTAAAATTTCGTTTCGGACATCCATTACATGTTGAATGTGATATTTTTCTAAAACATTTTCCTTCCTAATTAATTTTATACTGTATCACATCTATCATTCATTATCAATTATTTTAGATAATAAATTGCAGCCATCTTGCCCGTCCTAATTATTCTCTTTTGTCCTTTTCTTTTCTATTTTTATACTCAGGTCTTTTTTCGGACCAAGCTTGTCATGGATGTTTAGATAGTCGTCCATTTTGTGAATCTATTCCAATACAGTTTACATCAACCAGTCATAAAGAATGTACAATGCGTTTAATATTATCTTTTTATATTTGTGCAGGATTACTCATTTTGTCAAGTATCTTATTTATGCCACTGCGTTGGTTAGCCCAACATGATCCATATCGTAATGCACATATGTTACAGTCATCAATAAATATTTCAAGTAATGCACCTCAATTAGATGAAGATATTTCATTTTCACTTGGATTAGGTCAAGGTGAAGTATATGATCCTCAAGAAACACAGACTACGCATGTACTGGTAAGATTTATATTGTTGATACTTTGAAGTGTTGTCTATCTCCATGTTTAAAACTATTGAGTGAATCCTCTCTAAACGAAATTCACTTAAAATTGTTGTCTTTGTCAAATGTTATATATTAGCTTTTAGTTATTCCAGTTGTCAATACCATTTATTTTCCAGTCACATGAAATTAGGTATAAAGTATAACTTGAAATCTATATTTTTTTATTCGTCACATTTCTACTACTTATCAGCTGACTATAAGTCACTTAACGTAATTTTCGTGTTAAGTACTAAACAATGAATAAGATTTTAAAATGCTGTTAGTAAAAGGTGTGTATATAAAGCTTATAACCTTTTGTTAAATGACTAGTATCCAATTCAACTTAATCGAATGATGCAGGTCGTAAGATTATTTTATTTTTTCAGTCTGTCTTCGACACGTTTTGATGATTTTATTTTATCCTTGTATTTTTTTACATCCGTCTCTTGTATCATTCCATAGAAATAAGAATTAGAAATGAATGTTCTTTTTTTTTCAAAGCAAAAGGTATTTACAATCAACCTTTATTTCATATTGTGCTTAGTTTTAATGGCCAACGACGCATATATTTATATATCATGCGTTAAAATAAAAAGTGATTTGTAACATATGACGACAGACTGTTGACTTGTATTACTGGCAAATGTTTGCCAGCTGATTATACAGTGACATTTGCACGTATTATTATTATTATTATTATTATTATTATTATTATTATTATGCTTATAAGCATAAATGTGATTTGACCTATGACAGAAAATCACATTTTTCTATTTCCTCAATATGCAATCAGATGACTTCAAGGTATCTGTTCTCTTAATCGATTTCACTGTGAATGTTTTATTTTATTTTTTTTGGACCGATATACATTTATGATTAGAACAAATTATTAAAACGAATAATTAAGAAAAAATAGGTCAATTGTTTTTGGTAAATTTTTATATACAAATAGAAACCTTTTTTAAATGTTAGAACTGAGCATTTTATCATGATTTCATCATGTTTTATATTGTTATGAATTATCTTCAGTATGGTTTGTAGACAAATAAACTTGATACATTAAAAATAAACAAATAAACAAGCAAAGTATATCATGAGCATGCTTATTGAAATTCTAATTATTTGTGTTATAATACTGGTCAAGTTTTGTGTATCTCTTATAAATGCTGTCATCAAATAGAGTAAAATCCTGTTTATATTGTGTGTGTGTGTGTGTGCATTTAACTTTTTTTATAGAAAGTTAGACAAACTACTAAGTTAGTACATAATAAAAAAGTTGTAACATAAAGAAAAATTAAAGAACAAATGGATGCAAGTGGATAGTAAATCGAGCTGCTTCAGGAAGATATAAATATCTTATTACATCATGGTAACTAAGACATAAGTAACAGAAAAATAGGAATATCACATCAATTTACTCTCTTTGATTTCAAATCATATATGATAGAGTTTTAATCTAGTATAAAGATGCAACAATATTTATTAATTGAATGTAATTTTGATCTATTCATCGTAAAGAGAACTCTTTGCTGTACCAATATTCCTTACATTAAGCTCAGTGATAATATGTATGATTGAAACGGATTAGAATTAAAATAAAGCCAGAACAAACATAGATGCAAAATAATATGAATTCATTATATTTTTTAGTTTCTCATCAGCTGCTTACAACTAAATATGTATTAAAATTTTACATTGAAGTAAGATATAGTGTGAAACAATTGACATAGATGAATGAAAATAATTAGAATGACAAAGGTTATTATGAACTCTATACATATGCGTAGGAACAAGTCGTAGGTCATTTGGTGTTGGAATTAAAAAACATAAGGGGTGGGCGATACATTAATTGAGGTTCAGAGACAGATAAGATAAATTGTACGATAATTTTAGAGGTTGAGAAAGGTTTATATAAGATTCCTGTAATTAAAAACTGATAAGATGGGTTACGTAGTAATTGAACAGGATTTGAAGAGTGAACAGAATTGAATGAATGGAAATGCTTAAGTGGTTTTAATGTACAGAAAATAAGACTTCGGTAAGGGAAGACCATATAACAAGATGAACACTAACAAAATTAAGATAACGACATGAATGATATGCTAGGGTAGTAATAGGTTGGTTACTATCTCCTTTTGGTTACATAAATCAGTCTAGAGTTTCTTTTTATTATGGCCATTACTTCAGTAAACTTTAACAACCAGATCTTCAAACCATTTGTGCTTCCTGAATCTTCTAAACTTACAGACGGATTAGTTAATGTGCTTAATTTCTTTGTCTTATTCTACTCAGAAAAACTGTAAATTCTACTGTTTTTTTATTTAAACAATTTTGTGAGGATCGTTCATCAATTATTATTCATTGTTGAGAGAAACATATCAGTCGATTATCATATGGTGAATAATCTTATTTAGTACACTGATCAGCATTCCATTAATCTTTATTTACAGAACCAAAGATGAACTCATAACATAGCAGATTCTAAATTATCTATATGATGACATACTAATTGCGCTTTGTAGTAGATGCTTGCTTTAGGAAAATATTTTTTTCGGATATAATCACATTGTTTTATCATTTACTAGTAAAAAATGTGAAAATGTCTTTTTTTTCGTTTTTATACCTCTAGTATGATGAAAATGAACCGAGTGTAAAAACTCATTAAAGAACCAGTGGACATTATACCCACCTATATATATATATATATATATATATATATATATATATATATATATATATATATATATATATATATATATATATATATATATATATATATATATACTGGTTAGATATACTTCCATTATTTTTATCAATGTATTCTTTCTCCTCCACCCTACTCTTTGTCATATTTTCTCCACTATGTCATATGTATTTATCTGTATAACTGTGTCTTTATTCGAAATGATAAATGAGCATTTTAACGATAATGTTTCACGAATTCACATTTGTACTATTATTTTGTACTTTTATTGATCTTTCAGTCAGTTATTTAGCATTTCTTCAAACCATTTATATCTTTACATTTTATAGCATACAAATCTTCCTAGAGGTAGATGGTGTTCATTCATTGTCGTCCTCATCCATACCAGCGTCATTTACCAATATTATTATTATTATTATTATTATTATTATTATTATTATTATTATTATTGTAAGATGTCGGTAACACTTCAATGTTTTCTACTAGTTTCCTTTCACATGAGTCTCGACAATCTTTTAAATTATCATACGTACTTACAGGCTACATTTTATCGATTTTCAGCAAATCAACGTTAATAATGATAATGTTAACACGTATCGTTATCACTATTATTATTACAATAATCAACAAACTGTATGTACACATCTCAATCATGCTTTTTTCCTATATATAAATATTATTTTTCTTTTCTCTCATATAAATGAATTGTTCATGAACTGGTTTCATGTTCTTTGTTTTATTAACTTCATATCTATATATCAATAGGTCGGCATTTCATTGTTGTAATTATTCACTTATATATATTCCTATGCTTTTAATTTTCAACACAGTTGTAAATTGATTGAGCTATTCTTTTCGCCCTCTCTTTGATTTGTTTTCTTCCTTCCTTTTTTTCATGATCCTTCCTGGAACTTTAAAATTATTTCATATTAGTCTTTGGTTCATTTTAACCATTGTTATTATTGTTATCATCATTGATATCAAAGTTTATTCATCATATATCTAATAATATATATCATTGTCAATGATAGTGTTGCACTTGTGTTTTTTATCTGTCATAATTAAAAATGACATCGTAAATATCGTTACGGGAGAGAAAAAAGCAATCATACTAATGACAGCCATTTCACAAACATACAATAGAAATATCACAAACCCGGTCACTATGCCGTCAGTTCGTCTATAGAACTCACTGTTAAATTGGACATTCAGAGTGCATCGAGGATATTCTTTCAAATAGTGTATTGGGATACGGATATCGAGTTTGTTGTCTTCAATTTGATTACACAGTAGAAGGGGTGTTTTCGTCGGAGGTACATTTATATGAAGAGATGCAATATCTAGTGAGGTCATCATTTCCAGTTATGTTTGATATTGAATCAAAGAAATCTAACGAATAAGCAGTTGTGTATCTATTGAGTTGTTCTCTGACGTCGTGGAATTTCATCTAGCTATTTGGTGATAGTATGATATGGCGGGTAATTCATATGTAGAATAGTACGAAGAGGCGGAATCCTTCTTATGTACTGTAGATCATCAACGTAGATGATCTATGTCGATTGATTGAGTTAGGCGGGAATGGTTTGACCTGTCAGCTAACGTCGAAGTCACGCATCACAATGAAAACCTATTGTGGATTACCCTTTCGTCGTGTCCAGGTACTAGGGCTTCTTTGATGATCGTACAACGCAAACGACGTTATTACAGAAATAATATCAGCAAGAGTATGTACAAGAAGCAGTGCTATGGTGTGTGCTACTGATATCGACAGATATAAGTGAAATGTATCACCAATCGAAGGTGAAATGCATGACGGCAGAAGGTTGAGAAGATCGGAGGGAAGGAAGCGAGAACAGGGATTAATTAGTATGGGAACGAAGGAACAATAAAGTCTGCGACAATTATTGGACATTTCTCAAATACAGCATTTACTAAAAGATTCTGTAATTAGATACATCTGTTTGTCCCCACTTGTGTCCTGGTTCACTGCAGTGCGACCACTTCTGCACGGGCCAGTACATGGCATGTGATTAGCTGGTGCACGTTAGTTGTCTTCAACCTTGTCGCGTATTTGTGAACTGCTCGACACTCAGTGACTCGACTACCGAATGAGTGTCTGGGGCTCAATGACACTTCTTTGGCCTTACAGTACTTTAGAGAGTCCATACAATCGTGGGTCAATGGATCTAGTTGGTCGAAGTCTTTGATTCCCTTAAGAATTTCACTTAGTTTTTGCTTATTTTGGTCCGTAGTATTATTTTGAACTTTTCCTCTAAGGAATGCGTCTGTCAACTGTCCTCCATGCGCGACTGTGCAATATAGTCCGTTGTAGGAGTTCTGTATGACTGTGACGATCTTTTCAACCACTGACTCTACAGTGTCGAAGCAAGTTCCATAATGTTCTCCCATCTACACTGTCCAACACTATCTCATAGTCAAGCAAATTGATGTGTGTTGACTAATTAATCAATAATGATCCGTAGTGTTGAGATTTGGTCTGAGCTGTTCCTTTGTCTAAGAACTTTAGTGGTTGCCTTGCCTTCTTTGTTCTCGAACGGTCTTCCTGGTTTACTATATTTCTCTGCTAGTTTCTTCGTTGTCATATATCTGTCTCATATTTCCTTCTCTTGCAGCTTTTTCCGCTGACGTTGCTAGAATTCCCACGTATTTCTGCTTGTCGGCTCTAATGCTCTTCACTTGCTTCTTTGCTTCTGTGTTTTATAGCAACTCCTACAAGCAATTTCGATTGCGGTTAAATTTGTTAAACCCTTTTATTAACTTATTCAGCAGACAATGTTATTCGAACAGTAACAAACCGCATATTTCTTTGTACTATTATGATCACTATCTTGCATGTATAAAGATGTACTCTTGATCCCATGACAGCCTACGCGCATATCTCTCGCTAGCTAAAATGTTAATCGCTTAAATATCGCTCGATGATTCATTCTCTTCCCGATGTATATATGTATTCGAATCGTATTAATAGCTTTTTCCGTCCTTTGCTGCGTCTTGATTGAATTTGACTATAAGTTTGCCTTTGTATTCGCTCTCATACGCACATTTGCCTCTGCTTCGAATTCGCTCGATGTGCTTGTAGCTTTGTTATCTGTGCTATTCGCTAATAAACTGTAGTTTTCGCTTTCAATTACTTTCTGATTTCAAACACCGTTGGGATTTATATAACAACGGTTTTCAAGGTGATTGATTAACAAAGCTAAGCCACCACAGTATTCAGCTTGTGCCTTAACTTTTTCTGTTCTTACTAGACTGTTACCAATTACTGTCTTCATTGTTCTTCCTTTCTTGAATCCCTTCCGGGGTTTCGACAGAGGTCTATTCTATATGATGCTGCTTCTTACGGCGCAGAACATCCTGGCATATTGAACTTAGTGCTTCTTTGACCCTTTTCCATCTGTCTTCCATATTAATTTCTTATGTGAGATCCTGTAAAGCTTGGGACCTGTTATTGACAGCTACCTTGAATTTATTTAGTTTGTCAGTATGTTAAAGGAAGGTTGTATTGAACCTTTGTAATGTTGTTTCTCTAGTAGTCCAGTGCTTCTTCAGCTTCAGTTTCATCTTGGAAACCACCAGTTAGTGATCTGAAGCTATGTCATCTCTATTGGTTCTCACATCTGACATCTTGACTATTTCACTTCATTTTGAACAACTGATAGAATAAACCTCCATCATTAGTAAACATGAAACTGATAAATGGATCCACCTGATTTAGCAGTTACTTCAAAAATTTCTTGACAACACAAACATTATATGCTTGTACGCAGTGTTCTTGTTCTGATATATGAAAGTCTTGTACAGTTATATGAAATTAGGCGTTACACTAATCCAATGAATGGCTTGACAGTCAGTATTAGGTGATGTCTTGATATCCTGATTTGTCACAGAATATATAAGTTTGGTAGTTTTCTTTTGTACTAACAGATTAACCTATATTTGGAAGCGCTTTTAAACTAAGAAAAACTAAATGAATATTATTAAAAGGGGCTTTGTGGAGATCTTAGTAATTTCAACAGTTGAAATCATATATATATATATATATATTGAGATTAGATGGTGGTTGGAGGTAGTCAACAGGAAACCCTGGACCCGGGTTTCGTGCTACTTGGCACTCGTCAGCAAGGTGTACCTGTAATCTTGAGGGAACTGGTGCTCCCTGGCGGATTCGATCTCGTGTCACCCAGCTTCACAGTCAGAGACGTTACCACTGAGCTATCCGAGCCGTGACTAACCTCCTGTAGGACTGAGATGTAATCACAATTGATTGATCACTGGGTGGTGACTACCTCCAACCACCATCTAATCTCAATACATAGTGCCCGCAGTGTCGAGTCACCTAGACTGGTGGCCACATTGCAACATGATCGATAGCATTCGATCTGCACTAATAAGGACTAGACAAGCATGAGATTGATCACCACCCAGTGATCAATCAATTGTGATTATATATATATATATGTATATATATATATATATATATATATATATATATATATATATATATATATATATATATATATATATATATATATATATATATATATATATATATATATATATATATAACTATCACGTAACTGTATTATATCTATATTCATATTCATTTTGCTATAAGCTTCCATTTGACATATTAACGACTACTATACGATTTGTTAGTATATAGTTATTACTAATCTATTTGTTACAGCCTCTTACACTCTCAGCTACTTTTTGCTTGGTCTTGTTTAATTATCATTTTCTGTTTTATAGTATGATGCGATCTAATTTACTCGTATATAAACTGAGTATATCCGAAATACATGATTCATACAATGGAAGCTGAGATTGTATTCTGAACTCAAACAGACAAGTCTAGGCAAGAAGAACCAATAAGGACTCAGAATTGACTCTAGGCTGTAAATATTTCAAAATTTTGGGATTGAGATAAGAATCTATCTTTAGAGATACTGCCTACTAGTTAGTAGT